CCAGCAAAGCTCTTGGAGGCAATCCCTTACACCTCATCTTCCAAACATGGGGCAGTTGTATCTCAGAAGAGCTGGGCTAATGCCTCCAAGAGGTATTAGGCTGCTGTTAGATAGGAACATGGGACCTAATAATTTACTGCACCTGATTGCTCTCCTCTCAAAGCTGGAACTTGAAAATAACATTGCAACACTTCATTTTAAAAAGTGACTTCCAAAACCAAAACCATTCTAGAAATCAAGACCTATGTCATAAATATACCAAACTGTAAAGACTTTATTGTTTTGGCTTCACTGCTTCTACTGAAATGCTATTCCAGATTTAGGACTGAATGACTTACTGTGGTAAGTTTGGGATGTCTGTATAGCCTGTGACTTTGCTTTCCTACTGGACTTCATTTTTTAATGGCATTCTAATATTGCCTTATTTTCAGTTTTTCTCTTGCAGATTTGCATATTTCAGAAATTACAGTTAGGTATCACATGGCTGAACTTGCAGATTTTCTCAATGAGGAACACAAACCACCCTTCAGAATTTGTTCACAGAAAAGCCTTATTTTCTTCTCTGCTTTTGCCCTAGGATTAGGGCACAGCTATTTTGAACACTCCTAAGATAAAACAGTGTTAGGCAGGCAGGGGGTTAAACAACAATCACAGTGTTAGCAAGTATGGTTATTTTCTATCATTTCAACCTTTTTCTTATTTAAATTCATGAACAAAGCTCTTCTGCTTTTCTTACGCTGTCTGCATTTGTGCCTGTTTAAGTGATGGTTGACTGTTTAAATTAATAACTAAATTTTTTAAAAGTCCAAACTGAAGTGTTTACACAAATACTTAGAATAAAAAACCACAATTTCTCATTAAAAATGTTTAGAATGTGATATATAGGGGCAGAAGATTTATCCAGTGAACTAAATATTTGTGGAGCATTTCAGGAAAAGGCTTCAGTCAGCATTGGTATTAGATGTGTTGTTCATTGCAGATTCACCTAAATGGGTAAGATTCTCTGCAGTCTAAGTATGGTTTTGATCCGTGATCAGACCTAGGCCTTATTCTGATTGTCCTTCAGAAGTAAATGCTGTAAGTTGAATTCCTTGTACTCTCTTCTTTCAGATGCATGGCACATCTGAGACACCTTTAAAACTTAACTCATTAAAGCAAATCATTAAAATGAGGAGTGTTTTGCATCTTATCTAGTGATACTTATTCCAAGTCAAGTCTACATTTTGAGAATTGTGACCTTCATTGCTTAGAATATTGAATCCTTGTGCATAAATGTATTAACATCTCTCAAATATCAGGATTTCACACAGGAAAATAAATGTATACAAAATACTTACCAAAAATACACATTTTAAAATTGTTGCAAGGATAAAATGAGAGTGTATGAACTCCCTATAGTGACTAAAAAAAGCATGGGAGGCTTGATTCTGAACCTTTTTGATAAGGAATGCCCTTTTTTGTTTCAACAGGCCATCTTTCCAGTGAGAAGAATGGTGTTTGTTTCACTGTACAGAATGGTGATGTGTGTCTCCATGACTTTTCAGGCAAACAACTTGTATTCCAAGACAAGGATGATACTGGCAGCCAAGAAAGCCAAATCTCACTCAGAAGGACTTCAAAGAGAGGAAGCCTAAGTTCTATGGAGAAAATGTGATTTCCTTTTAAACAGCACATTGTTTTACAGTGTGAAGTAGAGTTTTACTTTAGCAGTTTTACATAATGTGAGCAGACCAAGGACTGGTTTTATTTAATATATGGTACTGGAACTTCAAGGCAGCCATGCAAGGGATTGACAAGGACAATTATTAAAAAAAAAAAAAGAAAAGAAAAGGAACCTATCATTTTGACAAGGTCTTGGATGTCGGATTACAGCTGGCACACTTCCATTTTTTTTCTTCTTCAGAGTGGGGTTTCTTGAGGGGTTTTTTAACATTTAAACAAAAGTTTTATTTAGGCTTTTTTCATTACAATTAAGTTTATGTGGATATAATGCTTTGTAGTACTGTATAAATGTAGAAAGTTACAACTTGTGTATAGAAACGATGTTAACTTTAAAAATGTTAGCTACACTGTCTTCAACTTTTTGTACGTTTTAGTAGCAAACTCTGCAGTCATGTACATAAGCAGAAAATATCAACCTTTAAGCATCTCAATGATACTTTTATATTTATTTCTTGTAATATAAATTTAAATATACCTATGTATAGAAAAATAATTGGTATTCTGTTTGTAACTTTTATTGTGAGTTTGCATTTTTCTTTAGTTAATTATCTTTAACACAGAATGCTACAAAACTTAGTTTGTCCAGTAAGTGAATCACTTACGGTAGTTTGAATATATTCACTAGATGCAGAACTGTAAATACCAAACACAATCAGTCTTCAACCTTTAGCTACCTTTTAGTGCACCATAGAGGGATAGAAATTGGGTATAATTCAAGTAGAGTGCCATGAATGGAGCATTAAATAAAGTAGTCAGTAGGTTATTATGTACAGCTAATCTGTGTTGGTGGCTTGAGTGAAGTCATCAGTTTTTGCCATTGATTTCACCAGGGTCAGTATTTATATTGAGTGGTGAGACACTGCCTTTTTTCATTTGCAATGATGGAAGTTGAGAAGTTTGGGGGGGGAGGGGAGGCAAGTTGAAGAAAAAATAGAAATAATAAATGACAGCTGCTATATTTAGTAGCTGAGAAATTGTTTGTTTCATTGCATGGCTGTTTTTTAAGGGGCAGCTCTTGAGCTATTCTAATGAGTATTTCTGCTTAAACTTTGCCTTGCAGTTGGCAAACCAAATACTGAGGCACTAGCTCAGTAATTGCTGAAGCAAAATTGCATTCCTCTTGTGATATTTACTGGGAAAAAAAAGAATTTTGGCTCTTCATGTAAAACAGCTGAAAGTCCATACAACATTGTAAAGATTCCTGAACAGAAATTGGCCTAAGCCCTGGTCTTACCTCTTCTTCCTCACACACATGTACAGCTATGGCCACTGCTTTTTCAATTTGCATTCTTGGGCAAAAGTTAGATGCTCCTAAAGCAAACTAGGACAAACTGGTGCCAGACTGCAGAGTACCAGGCCCTGTAAAGAGGGCTGCATGAAGCAGGTGCATGCTGATGGGGAGCAAGGGCTTTGCTTTCCCAGTGGGGAGGGCTCAGTTGGGTGCCCTGAAAACACACTCCTTAACAAAAAGTGTGAGTTACAAGCCTCTTATCTGGGGCTCTGTTTGGAGTTACCAATTGAACCTCTGCAGTGCCAAAACCCCATTGTGGTTCTGTGGGCAGCACAGGTTCTTTCAGTTATTTCAGTCACATCCAAAATTACTCTGACTATGCTTTTAAGGGGAGAATTTAAAGTATTTGTTGTGTTTATCCACAGGGTTTTAGCTGCATGTTGGTAAAAGCCCCTCCTGGAATGCTAGTAGCTGGAATACATTTCTGTGAATGCTTTAACTATTTGGCTAATTGCCTTTGCAGTGTTCTTGTAAATTTATTTAATGTTATTATATTTATATTTTCATCTGTAAAAAAAAAGTAATAAATTTGCAGCAAGTACAACACAAAATATATAAACTTTGTCTTTTAGATAAATGTGTCGTTTATACTGGGCTGTTACAGTTCTTCAGATTACAGGATCTGTATGTCACCTCTTGGAGAAAAAGCTGACCCAGCTTTTGCATTGATTCTCTGCTACGTGTTTTACCTTGCATGGTTCTGACAGATCTGGATTTTAGCAGAGAAAATCCTGACATAATCCAGTCCAGTAATGCCTGGCCTCAAGACTGCTGAAGCTCTCCCAAAGGAATGCTGTAAGCAAGAGCACATAGCTGACTTTAGCTTCAGTAATTAAATTCCCTATGAGTACATATATTCCACTCACCTGCTCCGAGTCTTCCTGTTGTTTTTATTTTTACACACTAAAATATGTTAGGATTCTTGAAAAAAGATTATTTTATATATTCCTAGGGGAGAGGAGTCCTTTTTGACTTTGCCACTCAATAGCATGCTCATATTGTAGTAAAAATTTGTACTTGCACCAGCATAATATTTTAGCTCATCCTCAAACTAGCTGAAAACGTGTTTTTACGGGGTGTTTTTACAGTGGGTGTTACAGTATCCTTTTGGTACTTGGTCTCTTGGACTTTGTTTAGTCAGGGCACCCAGAGGGATCTCGGGGAAAGCTGCAACACCCGCCCAGAGCACCAAGTAAAATGATGTGCACTAGTTTGTGGCTGCAAGGCTAGCTCGGGGGACCTGTAAGGAAGTTTTAAGCTTAGTCAAAGATAAACAGCAATCTGCCGTGTAGCTGGCAGCACCCTGCCCAGCAAACTTGGTGCCCAAGTGCAGTCTCTCTAAGAGGCGGTGCCCTGAAGGGGGAGGCTGGCGCGGAGCTCAGGGAGCCGTGAGCTGGTCCGTGTTTCGGCCCGGAGCAGGTTTCACCCCTCGGCTCTGGCAGACGGAGGTGATGAAGCTCCGAGCTCTGTGCTCTGCTCTTCTGTGCAGCACCTGCAGAGGTGGGGTCCGAGCGCCACCGATGGAACCAACGCGGCTGTGAACGCTGCCTTCTCAGCCACGACTGTCAGCTATAGGCAACGAACGAAGAACAGCAAGGAAAAGTGACAATAGTAACTCTGCTAATGCTACAATTTCACTTGAAAAAAAAAAGACAATGGGAAAAAATTTGTTTCCGAATTTTGATTGAATACCACACCTTCAGCTACTCTGCTACATCTGTGTCGCGCTTTCATTCGATCAGATCTCAAAACGGTGGGGGTTTTTTTAAGGCTGGGGGAAAGAAAAGCTTCCAGCAAGTATTCTGGTATTCTCAGCTTTATTTTACGAATTTACGAAGAGGTTCTGTAAAACTGACACTTTTTTACAAACGCAGCCGGGCTTTTGTCACGCCAGGTGGCCCCTCCTCCGCTCGGTCCGGTGCGGGGCTGTCCCGGTGACCCCGCGGTGCCTGAGGGCGGAGGCCGCTGCTGCCCCGCCCCGCTCCGCCGTGAGGGCGGGGAGAGGCCGCCGCCATCTCCGGGTACCGCCGCTCCGAGAGCGGCCGGGCCGGGCAGCCGGGCCCGCCGTGGGGCCATGAGGAGCCGCAGCAACTCGGGGGTGCGCCTGGACGGCTACGCCCGCCTGGTCCAGCGGACCATCCTCTGCCACCAGGTGAGGAGCAGCCGCCGCCCCCGGACGCCTGCTCGGGGCTGGGGGCGCCGGGCGCGGTGGGGCCGTGCCGGGGGCGTGGGGCGGCTGCCGGGGCCGGGGGCTGCGGGAGGGACACGGACATCCCCGCTCCGGCGGCCTCCTGTCCGGTTGTCCCGCCCCCGCCTGCGGTATGCTGAGGCGGTGCGGATCCTGGGGGTGCTCGTGTAAGTGCACCTTGAAAAGCGTGTGGAAAACACAGCGAGTCTGAGCTTGTAAATAATAATAGTGTTGTGTATACAATGTCTTCATGGCCGTATGATACACACCCAGCCGTTGTGCACACCATATCTAGATAGATAGATAGATAGATAGATACACACTACCTACTATGTATATGTGTGTATATGTGTATATGTACGTATGTATGTATGTATGTGTATATACGCACACGATAACAGCGGCATTCCGGCCCGGTGACATCAGAGCCCCGAGCAGGACTTTGTGCCGCGCTGTCAGCACAGCGCTGTGCGGGTCCCCGTGCGCTCCCCCAGCCCGTGTGTGCGGCCGGGCACGTCCCAGAGCTTCCAGTCTGTTCTCAGCTGTCCGCACTGCTGAGCCTCTGGAGTCAGGCGGAGCTGCCTGCACAGGAGAGCAGCGAAAGAACGAAAGAAAATAACAGGTGATTCCGGGAGGTTGTTGCCCACCTTGTGTTTTGGTCAGCACACTGCTTAGTGTGCTTGTTTTACCCAGGTGGGCACTGAGGACTCAGAAGGTGTTCAGCAGTGTCGTGCTTTGGTTAAACAATCCAGTATATAAAGATGAGCAGCAGGGTTTTCTGCACAGATCGGTTACCAGATATGCTTTGTTGATGAGAGTTGCAAGAAACTGGTAAGCAGTGAAAGAAGAGGCTGGGCTCCAAATGCACTTTGGTCAGTAAGATTTTTGTCACTGGCCATTGTTTTGAGTGCAGGGTCCAAACACCTGTGATTTGGTGTTTGTGTACTAATTACTGTAGACTCAGTAGAAACAAATGCAAGAACTGGCATATGTGGCATGAGAGGATAATTTTTGGCTCTTCCTGTGCTGGGGTGCAAGAGAAGCTTTTAGCTGTACTCCCATCTCTGCCTATTGTCAGCAAGATGACCTTGGGCAAGTCTCTTTGGCTTCCAATGCCTGCTTTGATTTCCTTGTTTGTAAGATGAGAATGCTGATAACAGCTTCCATTAGGGGAGACATGGAGCCTCTGAGATTCAGAGCTCAAACATGCCCCATGAAAGCCTTGATGATATTAATATTAACAATAGGAAAAAGGGTAAGTAAATGGTAATACAGGGGTGCATATTGGTGACCAAGAATTTTGTAATTGCTATTTAAAGCACTAGGATGGGTGTTCATGATTGTGTATTGCCTTTTTCAGTAAGGGCTCAATGTGTGGGAGAATTCAGAAATGGGGAGAGGAGGTAAGTTTTCTTCTTTGTGTGGAAAGCAATTCTCAGGCTAGCAGCAAGGCAGAGGATCACTGAGATCTCAAGAGGACCCAGAGAAATGCTCAATGCTCAAAGTTTCTAGGTTTTTAAAATATATTTATTTATTTATAGTCTTTATGGGTTTTTTTCACTGCAATAGTTTGAAAATGTTGTGTTCAGCCAGGTGAAGAGATGCAGTGCTTGGGCAAGTTAGGAAGGTTGTCTTAGGGCTACATGCAACTGTGTCTTTCTTGGGAGCAGAAAGTCTGTGGCTGGGTGGGCTTGGATGCTGCTGCTTCACTGCTGCTGGTGCCTTCTTAGTGCCTCCCAGGAAGGAGCCAGGGGCCAGGGAAGTGAGTTTTAGCCATGGAGCAGCCTGGCAGAAGAGCCAGAAGGTGTTTCAAATGCTTGAGGTGCCGTGGCTCAGCAGGGGCTGATGTGTGCCTGTGACCCTGCACCTCACATGCCCAGCTGGGGGAGCGCAGCCTTGGCACATCAGCTGCTGTGCTCTGACAGGGGCAGGGACACACTCACCTCTGTGAGGTGCAGCAGGGGCAGCACAGAGTGTGCACAAACACTGGGCTTTGGTCAGGTGTTTAATACACCTGGAGCTAGCTTTTTCAGTAGCAGCAATTGATCCTGTGCTCATTCCAATCACTCTAGATCAGTGTGATTGTGCAGGCAATTTTTAATGCAGGATATCTGTGCTACCAGGCAGATGAGTTTAAAAAACAGGTTCAACTGAACCTCTTCATGGCTGACAGCTTTCTCTGTGGCATCTGCAGGATCAGGTCAGCATGTTTCTTTTCCTGTTTTGCAGATGTTGCATTGTCCTTGTCAGTGCCTGTAGCATACACAGTGATAGTTACCATCCTGTTAAAGTTGATAAAGGAGGATAAGACCAGACCACTGGCTCCTGTCTGTGGGGGGCCTGCCATCTGCTGCATGTACCCCAAGGGACAGGGCCCAGAGGGATGCTTTGGTGCTGAAGCAGAGCAGACATTGAAAAGCACCACCAGAAGGATGTTCTCAGCTGCTTATTACACATGGTAAATTGAATGGCATAAGAAAAAAAGTGAATCTCAAGATTACGAAATGGTAAAACTTAACATCTATGTACATTTTAAGTATTGCTATGGTACTATAAGTGAAAGGCATATGGACCTGATAAGGAAAGCTCATACCTTAATGGGTAACCCCAGCTGTATTACAGAACCACATTGGAAGGGACTCACAAAAATCAAGTCCAGCTCCTGGTCTTTCACAGGACCATCCCCAAGACTCACTCACATCATGTTACATCTGGTTTCACAAGCAATCTACAGGCTTTGCTAGAGCTACCTCAGTTTTCACCTGACAGATCAATGAGACAATCTGTTTAATTTGCACCTTTCAGCAAGATGCTAAATTACTTGCTTTGCTGCTGTTGTTAGAACCTCACTGGTTTTGTGCCTGTCCTGCTGAAGTTCTTATTGACACTGCTGCCCTGTAGGAACTGCTGTGGTTTTTTATTTGGGTTGTTGGGGGGCCTTTTTCTTTCCAGACTGATGGATAGATTTAAAATAGCTTTGGGCATGATACAACAGTTTAAAGTCTTAGTCCAGCAATCAGCTTTCTGTTCAGTGCTCTCAGCTGGCAGCCCATGGTGCTGATAAAATTCTTTGCTCCGTGGATCTTCTGAGCAGTGTGATTTGCAGGATGAGACCTGCTAGTGTGATTAGCCATCACTGCATAGATGGAATGCTTGAAGACTAGCTAAGCTAAAATCCCTTTGACATCAGGGGGATTAAGTGCACTCAATGTTTCTGTGGGTTCTTTAGCACCTTGTAAACATTATAGTTTTCATATGGTGCCAGCAGGTAACAGAGGAAAGTGATTGTGGTTTTTAAGAGGAAACACTTCTGAAAAAGCTGAAACAAAGCCACTTTAAAATGTTAATTAATATATTATATTGTTCTTCTAACATTCTGAATGTGCATGAGGAAAGACATTAATGTGTTGTCAGTTCATGAGAGCCAGCCCCAGTGCACCCCAAAAGCTGGGACCAACTTGTAGAAGAGTCAAACGTGGTGAAATGGTGATATCTACTCATGGATGTATTTAATACAACCTCTTGAAACAGACAAGTCCTTCTCTGGGAGCTGAATAGTCTTTTAAAGTCTTGGATGGGCCATTTCTCTGGGATTCCAATTTGGTACACAGAGACATTTTTATTTTTCAACTGGCAGCTAGCCAGCATGGAGAGTAGGGGAAAATAAACCAAAATGAGCATTTCTCAGCAGAGTGATCTCTATCAAGGCAGGGCTGCCGGTGAGTAGACGTTTGTTGTCCTGCATTGGAGGGAGGGAAACAAAGTGTCCTCTAGGAATGTGGGGAGTTTGTGTCTGCCTTTTGAAACCCTTTTGTCATGCGGGCACGGTGCTGAACTGGGACTTCTGTTACTCCCTGTTTGACTTCTCAAGATCAAAGACAAGTTTTTTAAGCCATTTGCATTCATATGTGCTACTTTCCCCATCAAACAGGTGAGTAGGGGTCCTTCAGCTGTTACTTGGTTTGTGAACACCTTGCTGAGGCAGGGCATTTGCAGTAGAACTTCATTTCTGCTCTGAGGGAGTCACTAAACATTGCTGTATTAAACCATAACAATGGGGCTGACTGTGCCAGGTCATGTCTGTCAGGCTGTCACCCATGTGCTGCTCACATGGAGAGACCAGGAAATTGTAACTAAAGCCCCTCTCCCTCAAACCAGCTTTTTTAAAAATAGAGTTGAGTGAACCAGTGTATGCGAGAAATGAAAAATTGGTGGATGTATCCTTTTAAATTTTACTTTTGTAAAAGTAGTCTTTAGTAATCTTTGCCCCTTGTCGCACCAGCCCCACCAATTGGTCTTCATTCACTGAAATTTTCTTTAAAGGCTTGATTTGGTTGAAAGTTCTATTGACTTTTGCCTCTTTGTCTCATTTTTTTATTAGTCAAGAATGTACAGCCGAGAAAGATGGTCTAAAAAAATTAAGGATAGTGAAGTGATGGGAATTAATGATGCAATTAAAAATTTAATGGAGTATTTGGGATGCAGGAGACTTCTCAGTGCTCTGCTTTTCAGACAGTGTTGCTTTTCAACACCTTCACATTTTTTTTCCTGTACATTTTCCAAAGGAGGATATAAAAAAGGTTTTACATTCATTTAACTGTCGTAAATCCAGTGGGCAGATGTATAGAAATACTTTTTTAATCTCCTAGAAGATCACTAGTGGTTTTTTACTTTCTAAAGATTATGCCACAGACCACTTACATAGAGGAGCATATATCTCACACTCAATTTCTAGTGTTAACTCAGTGGCCTCTTTTCCACATAAATATGTAAAATTTAAATTTCCATTTCCTTGGTGTATTCTGAATTTCACTCAGTGACTTAGCTACTAATTCTGAGTGGATGAAGATGTCCAGCTGGATGCTGTAAACTTTACAGAGTTCAAATGTAAACTTTGAAGGGTTCAAATAAATTTTGCGTTTCACTTGTGTGAGTTTGAGAAAGAAGGATGGGGTCTCACTTGTGCTGCGAATTCATGAGCAGCCGCAGTGTGCACTTAGCATGAAATCATCTTTAGTTTGTTCCCCTTTCCTGCAGAGAGAAGTGATGGGACTCGAGGTGGTGATGTTTGTTCTTTGTTCCTTCTGCCATGCTAGAACCCGGTGACGGGGCTGCTTTCAGCTGGGGCCGACCATAAGGATGCCTGGGTGCGGGACAACATCTACAGCATCCTGGCCGTGTGGGGGCTGGGCATGGCCTATCGCAAGAACGCGGACCGGGACGAGGACAAAGCCAAAGCCTACGAGCTTGAGCAGGTGCGTCAGGCTCGGCATGAGCCGCTTCCGCTCTTTGGGTTTCCTTACTGCTGTGGTTTTGGAGAGTGTATTCACACTGCTGCTGTCTGAAATCTGGTGGGGTTTTCCCAGCTTGGAGTCTTCCAAAGACAGCAACATCCATGCGGTGAGTGGTGTGCAGTGTCCCTGGTAACTCTGTGGCAAGGAGGATTTGAAGAACTGGATGGCAGAGAGGCGAACATCTGAATTTAACTACAAACAAAACAAAAATATGTAGAAGTCAAACTTCCATCGGTTGGCTGATTGTTGAAAATTAGGCTTCTGAGAGGTTTTGTACCCTAATTTATGAGGCTCTCTCTGATTAAACCTTGAGGTCCTTCATGAGGTGTGTTGTGGTGCAGAAAATCAGGCCTAGGCTGCTTGATCTTGCAGCAATTTTTCTACAAGACGATTCTTCCCCATAAAGAGAAGCATGCTGTTTAAAGTGGAAGTCTTTGGAATGTGCATGGAAGTGTGCACATTCCAAATGTGCCTACGTGTATGTAGGCATGTTTGATCATAGCAGAGAAGGTATCAATCTCCAGACTGATGAGATCTGTGCTGGAGAATTGGAAGGGGACATAACTCACACAGTTAAATACTAAAATCTGCTGCTGAGAATGTATCAGAAATGAGAATGTAAACAGAGGTGGGTTAAATGTGAAGTGAGGGACTGTTGGTGTCCTGCTGTTGTTTTGGAGTCACTGGGTAAATTTGTTGCTGGTATGTCTTACTTGAACCAAGGAGATCCATGGTGACACAATAACCTTGACTCAGTTTGCATGATCATATTTTGAGGCTATATTTTTAGGGTGAAAAGGTAGGGTTGATTATTTAATGCACAGTCTTGCACTTCTCTACATTCCCATTTACAGCCCTTTCTCTACGAGTCACTTAATTTTTGCTGTACTGCATAAAGAGTGGAAGAAACTCTGGAGGTTTCACAGTCATGTCAATGTCTTGATGTCACCTACCAGTGTTCCCTAGATCTGTCATTCAAAAAATTTATTGTTAGTATTAATATTCTTACAAGACTTCCTTTTCTTCTTCCATTCTTCTTACTTCCTTTAGCTGGATAGAAGGACCATGGAGAGTTGTTCCACTGTTTAGAGAGGACCTTAGGAAAAAGACTTCTCCTAGATGGGAATGAAGGAATGAAATCTGATCAGTATATTAAAAAAAAAAGCATGCAAAACATTTTGGGCAAATACACATTCTTTTTTACCTTTGGCAGGACATTAGTAGAGGGTGTGAACTTTGCCACTTTTGAATGTTGTTTGTATGAGCTGAATGTCACTGGTCTGTTTTGTTCCTGCAGAATGTTGTGAAGCTGATGCGGGGACTCTTGCAGTGCATGATGAGACAGGTAATGCCATAGGATTGAGCTGAATTAGTAAATGTTGTATGTACAAAGCATTTCATTGAAGTGTGTAGTTCTTGTGTCTTCTGTGGAGTGACTTATTCTGTGTGTGTGCCAATGATGGTGTGGGGAGTCTTCTTAAAACTCTTGAGCAAAACACTGACCTTGCTTCCAGTTACTGTCCAAGTAATGTTTTGAGACTGTTTATAGCAAGTCAGAGTTTTGCCTTTGCAAACTGATTTTCACCAGGATGGATGCCTATAGTTTAGATCTCAACTCAACAAGATGATTTAATTGTATTCTTTTCTGTAGAGATGTGAATTTACCTGGAGTCTAAAGTCAGAGTTGTGTTTAAGCCCTCTGATCAATCAAAACTGAGTGTGGTAACACGATTAAGACCTCAAGATTTTCCTCCCCTAAGAAAAGTTGTTAATTTTGAAATCGCTTGGAGAATTTCTTCCCAAATGTTTCAGATTTGAGATTTGTGATGTTTTTTAGGTAGATAAGGTAGAGAAGTTCAAGCGCACTCAGAGTACCAAAGACTGCCTCCATGCCAAGTACAACTCTGCAACTTGTGCCACGGTGGTTGGGGACGACCAGTGGGGGCATCTACAAGTGGATGCAACTTCCCTCTACCTGCTCTTCTTGGCACAGATGACTGCATCAGGTAAGCAGAAGATATTTTTGCCTTTTGCTGCAGCCTTTTCTATTCTAGCTTTTATTTTAAAAGGAAAAAAAAGAGCTAGTAATCAGCTTCAAAGGTCTTTACATAATTATTACTCAGAAGCAAGTCATGTTTCTCTGGAAAAGAGATATGCCTTAAATTAAATTTCATGTTTATAGTAATTGGCAGTGTCTATGCCCTTAATCAAGGCATCAAATACATGAGATATTTAGAATCATGTCAGAGAAGTCTCATGTTTAAAGACTTCATAGGGGACAACCACGTTTCTTCAGAGAGTGGCAACATCAAGTCAGGTGCACTTGTGCCATCAGTGTTTCTTCTCTTACTGGTGCTGTTTTTTCCTGTGTTCTTCTTAATTGTACTCTTCCTGTGAGGATAAGGATTTGTTTTCTTACATGTTTTTCTGTCCTTGAAGCCCCTTGCACTTGATCCCTGCAGAGCAGGCACCTGGTTGTCTTGAAAGTTCCTAGGTAGAGCACTGAGTAGGCAGAGGGCTGGGGAGCTGTAGAAATTGGTATGCACTGTTCTGGAGAGCCAGAGCTGCCTCAGGTGCCTCTGCTTTTTACCCATGGTCTGAGTGTCACCCTCACAGTTTTGGTGGGTCATTGGCTGGTTTGTGGTTGGTCTTTGAAACACTCTGTATTGGTGGGGTTTGAAGTATTTTATCAGCAGCAAGTATTGAGGCTTGCTGCCTCACCTTTGGAAATCAGTATGAGTTTTTTCTTTGATTTCAATGGGGAGGGGTTGGAAGCAAATAAACAAAAGCATGAAACTCACTGAAGAGTAGCTATTGCAGTTCTGATACAATATAATTATTCTCTTTCCTTCTTTTGATCAGGGCTACGTATTATCTTCACCCTTGATGAGGTTACCTTTATCCAGAATCTTGTTTTTTACATAGAAGCTGCCTACAAAGTTGCTGTAAGTAGTTATTTATATGTAAATGATCTGAACACTGCTCAAGTGTGGGTGGAAAATTATTTATTGCTTGAGAAGTTAAATAGGGACTTGTTTTTTCCACAAGAGGATATCAGAACCTGTCAGGACTTTACAATGCAAGCAGCATCTTTGGAGATATTGGGAGGGCTGTGGAGGATTTACTGCTGTGTGGGTGAGGTATACTTGCTCTATCATAGTAATAGGGGGTTTTATTGATAATTAGTAATATTTCCTGATGTCTAATTATAAGTCTTCTAGGCCTTTCTGGAAAGGGTAAGTTGTTAGCAAACCAAGTTGAAGGGACATGGGGAGAAACATGCACAGGAGGGATAAAGGGCTTTGTGTCTTCTGTGAAGGCAGGGATTTGTGATTGTACACATGACCCTGCTGGGGTGGATTTTTATGTGCTTCTTTTCAAACATGAGGAGGGTCTCTTTCGAGACTTGGAGCCCCTTTTTTCTTTTATTTTTTCCTTTTTTTTTAAGGGAAATAATAAACTAATTTAATGTAGGGGTGGGGATTTGTTGTGGGGCAGAGGGCAAAGCATTGCTTTTGTATATAATCATGCCATTTTTTTCTTGATGATATTGCAGGATTATGGAATTTGGGAACGTGGTGATAAGACAAACCAAGGAATCCCTGAACTAAACGCGAGCTCCGTGGGAATGGCCAAAGTGAGAATGTCTTCCTGACACCTCCTTCCTGGCTGCTGTGTTGTGCCTGAGGGCTCTGACAAACCTGATGGCTTCCTTTGTGTGGTCTTCTTGGCCACTGCAATAGTTAGTTGATTGTATAAGAACTTTTGTTTAGTTGTAAATATTTTTTAGTGTAAAATTTTTGAGATAATGGCTCTCATTGAAGGACCTCAGCACAGTTGTTCCAGGCATTGCAGGAAGGGTACCAGATTAATTGAACCATGAATCTGACTCAGATTCAGTGAGGTGCAATCTTATAAAGTGGCCTCTTCTTTTCTTTCACTCCTCCTTCATTCTTCAGCCTCAGTGTCATATGTATTGTCATGATAAGACCAAGTCAGATGTAAATTCAAAAAAACAGCAGAATATCAGTATAAGAAATTTTCTACAAATAATTTTAAGAGAAAAATAAATGAAGATATACTTACAAGAAAGTGGATATTTCTGGTTGCCTCATAGCACAAGGACACGGAGATACTAACTGAAGCTCAGAAGGCCATAAATGTAAATGTGCAATTGACAACTGCCTCATTACATGGTGTCTGAGGGACAGCCAGAAGACAAATATCATCAAGGTTAAAGGTGTATTTGCCTTTCAGCAGGATTTGTAAGATTTTTTGTGCACTGCAAGAGGGAGAGGCTGCTGGTCTTGGCCCCACACTGATACAGGAGGCTATTTTGAAATATAGGGCAGGACAAGCATTTTTTACTGAGTACGTCAGCGTTTAGATAATGTCTCTCTGGAAACCCAGCTCCCATTTTTTTGCATTGCCTTTAAATTGTAGGAAGGATTACCAGTACATCAATGCTCTATCCTACTAGTTGAAAACCAGAAATAGTTACCTTTTCTAAAATATTGCCAAGCTTCACTTTAAAGATAAAAAAGTGTTGGTGGGGCAAACTGCTGTCTTAGGTAATTTCTTTCAGAGGTTAAATACAGGTGCTAGGGTACTTGGTTACTTGGTTAAAAGGTATTTATTGATTTTGAGTTGTGGTTTGGTTTTCCTTGAAGGCTGCTTTGGAGGCAATTGATGAACTAGATCTTTTTGGAGCTCATGGAGGACACAAATCAGTGATTCATGTTCTTCCTGATGAAGTGGAACACTGTCAGGTAAAAATTAGTCTGCTCTTTGCTTTACTAGGGGAAAACCTAACACCCTCTCCCCTTTGTTTTTAAATTAAATGTTGATTAACTAAGCCAAAATGAAACATAATAAGGATGGCTTCAGGCTATGCTGCTCATCCTGTTTCTCATAGATCATGTGAAACTGAATAGGATGAAGCATTCTCATTCTAACTCAGTTAAAAATAACTGCACAGACTTCTCTGTCAGTTTGGAAATAGTGTAGTCTCATTTGCATTTGACATAGCTTTTGAAGTAGGCAAATTGTTTTACATCCCTCTCTCCTGTTCTTGTTTTGCTCAGTCTATTCTGTACTCCATGTTGCCAAGGGCATCCACATCCAAGGAGATAGATGCTGGCCTTCTGTCTATTATTTCTTATCCAGCTTTTGCAGTGGAGGATGTAAACCTTGTTAATGTAACCAAGAGTGAAATCATATCCAAATTGCAGGTAAGGATTTGCTTCATTTTTATTTTCCAAAGAGAGAAGCAGAACCTCTTGCAAAACCAAAAATCCTAATTAAACAAGGGTTACCAGGTTGGTTCATCTGTGCATGAAGAGAGGGAGGAAGATCCCTAAGTGACCCATAAAACTCAGCACACACCTTTATGCTGATATTAGTTTGTGAGGAAGAAGTGTATGGGAAATTTCCTACAATGGTGTCTGTTTTTGCAGGGCCGCTATGGCTGCTGTCGCTTTCTCCGAGATGGTTACAAGACACCCAGAGAGGTACTTCTGATGTATATTTATGATGTATATTTTCAGTAATTCTTCACATGGGAAGAATTTTATCTCTTCTTTGTAGACATTCTTTTTTTAATTTATATGAAGGGGTGAAGATCTCCATCACTGCTAAGAAATGTTAGTGAATTTGTGGGTAATCCAGGTATCCACCCTGGAAAGGACACATATTTGAGGAGGCTGAGGGTTTAAAAAAGAGTTATTAAGGACAGAACTTAATTCAAAATTCTGTTAGGAGCTAACCATTAGATATGCTTATGATGTCTAAGATGAAGTGGTATCTCTGAAACATCCCAAAATATCTTTGAACTGAGGCAGAGCCACAATCACTTGGGAGACACTTAGATCCTGAGAGTAGAAAGGATGGATTTGTCTACAGAACCATTAAATGAGTTTGAGAGTGAATGTGACATAGAAGTCAAGAGACTGCATGGAAACTATTTCTGGTGGGTTTGTTGGTTTCTGTGCTATAATTTGTATAAAATAGGCTGCCATTATGATTGGAATAGAAGTGACTAAATTAGCACTGTGACTAAATGAGTGTGGTTGAATTTTTTAGGATCCAAGCAGGCTGCACTATGATCCTGCTGAGCTCAAGCTCTTTGAGAATATTGAATGTGAATGGCCAGTATTCTGGACATACTTCCTAATTGATGGAATATTTAATGAGGACAAAATCCAGGTGAGGAAAGGAGAATTTGCTTTCAAATTGCAAAACCATTTACCTACAGTATTTTGTAACTTTGTTCCATGTTTGTTTTGGGTATTATTTAGATACACCATTAGCAGAGTGGAATAGTCTTCAGCCAGTTTCACCTTCCTGGGAAGTTCATGACATGGTAGAGGCAGCAGGGTTGTGCACACTGGGGCCTGGTTGCCCTCTCCTTACTAGGTTGAATGGTTCTGTTAGCTGGGGTGGTAAAACTGGACTAAACAGAGTTTATTTGCCTAGTTTTGTCGTATCACCAACCTTGATGCCCCTTTCTCAATGACTTCAGGATGAGGCAAGCTTCTTTTTCCCCAGCCTCTCTGGCTTGGCTGCTGAGAACAAGATTTGTAGTACTTTCAGTCTTTTTGTACATTCTGAGAGATTTGGGATTGGTTTATGTGGGACAATTTCATTTTTACTAGTTCCCAAAGTCACTTCATGCCATTACTGTGCCAGATATGCAGTGGTCATTAGAGCTAAATTGATTGTAGCCCTCCAAAGATTATGGTGGCACCTGGGGAGTATTGGTGATTTTAAAGAGCAGCAAGTAACCAGACATTCATACCAAAACTTCTGCAGATTGGTAGCTTGAAAGAAATTTAAAATGTATATGATTTAAAATTGCCTGGCATGCAGAGGGATAGGAGATTGCCCAGCTCCTTTAAAAATTGAAATGTCATCAGAAACTATTCAGAGAATTACAGATCAAAAAGCCCTCTTTCTGTATCAGTTGTTGCAAATCAAGTGAAATTCCTTCCACACTAGACACATAAAATGTTTTCCTGAACACAGTAAAAGTAGTCTGATGAAGAGAGAAATGGCATTATTTCATGAGGGGGAAAATCAGCAAGTTTACAGAAACTTCAGTCCTGTCAACAAAATACCACTTCCTGAAGCAGGCTGTAGACCTTAGCTGGATTATCTGGGACAGTATGTACCTGGTTGTTTGGTTTTTTTTTGGTGTGCAGATGGACTGTTCTAGGGCATGGTCAGGGCAATTGCTCCCAGTCTCCACTGTTCAAACAGAGTTAAATGAGTCACTGAGACACTCAGGTGAGTGTCTAGTGCCCAGTTACTGCTGCAAACAAATGCTTTTGCTAGAAAAATAAGCACCCTGAGGACTCAAAAAAGTGGAGTGGGACAGGATACTAAAATGTCAGTGTATGTGAACCTGTGAGTACCATACTTTGAGTGATCCACTTCACTCAGGAATAGCAGAAAAAGGGATTTCTGAGGCAGGAGCTGTTAGTGCTTGAAAAGTTTCCCTCTAAGTATACATCAGAGTCTTTTTCCCTGTAACTTATTGAAAGTATGGTGAGATAGAGTGTTCAAATTGTAGATATGAGCAAAGGCCTCCATGCCAAAGTAAGCAAATGCTGAGGTAGCTGTGATCCCATGGGAAGTTTGAACAGAGAGAGAAAAGTGATGAAGAGACCCTTTGTGCCAGGGAAAGAAGAAGAATTCTGTTCTCAGAGATGAAGATGATCTCAGAGATAGATAAAGAGAACCTTTGCTCTTGAACAGCTCGTCCTTAAAATAATACCCCATAAGCTGACATGGCCCATAAACACAGCTGTTGGAAAAGCTGTGAAAAATGGGAGGGAATTCTCGATTGCAGATTTCTGGGCAGCTGCTATTCGTGGAAATTAAAAGGCACAAGAGAACTGCTTTCTTGTGGAGAAGTCTCCATAGATTGACAAGAGGAACTCCTCTCCCTAAGTGAACTGAAGAAAGACTCTTCTAGAAGTGATAAACGGACTGAATTGGTTCTATGCATTGTTAGCATGAAAAAAAGTTGTAGGGGGGAGAAATGTTCTAAAGATTTTATTCTGATTCTTATTATTCTTTCTTTTAGTTACTGTTAAAGTTTTCTTTATACCCTTTTAAAGTCTATACCCTTTTAAAGTCTGCTTTGCCTTCCTCCTAATCCTGTCTCACAGCTGGAGATGAGTAAGTATATTCTAATGGGTGTACTGGTGTTTGGCCAGCACTAGACCCACCACACTTCTCAGTAGGAATATATTGGAAGTTTTGTAGCAATGTGTTACAGTTTGAAGACAAGTGTTCATGTTTCTGATAACACTGGGATGCTGGAACAGTCTCTGATAATTTGAACCCTGTTTTTCCATCAGCAAGTCATGATTCCTCCACCCCTTTTTTTCTTTTTTAAATATATTAACTTTCAGTAAAAAAAAGTACTCAGAAGTACTTTATTGTTTCAGTTTTGCTGACTGTAATGTGAATTCACTCTCTTTTAAAAATAATTTCAGGTACAAGAGTACAGAGAGGCTCTGGAAGGAATACTTATTAGAGAGAAGAATGGATTAGTGCTAATGCCTGAACTGTATGCAGTCCCTCCAGAAAAGGTATTGTGAAAATGCAGTGTCCACTTCAGTATGCAAAGTAGAGAGAGCAAGAGGAATGTCAGTCTTACAGTTTTTCTGTGTCAGATGAATTTAAACCAACAATAAAAAAGACTATTGCACATTATTTTAAAAAGTAAGAGACTTCTCACAACTCCTGCTGAGAAATGGTAAACTTTAGGCTTCCAAATGATCACATTTTTCACTTGTAAATTTGATTGTCTGTAGAAATATCACAACAGGTCTAAAATTTTACATCTTTACCTATTTAAGAAGTGTTGATACTAGCTTAGGAACCAAAGCTCAAAGAAGAAATAAAGCACAGACTGTCCTACCTGTCTAGTCTATTGATTGCTTGTGCTGCCCTTTTCCAGAGCATGTATGGGAGCCAGGTTTCAAATGGATTAGGGTTTGGGCTGGGATTTTGGTTTGGGCATTTTCTTTTCCCCCACCTTTGCTGTTACTGTTTCTCATTCTCCCATTATGACAGAGAAATTCAGATGAGCTTATGTGCTCTCCCATGCTATTTGCCTTTGTATCCCTCCCTGCCAGCTTCTTCTCCCACTCCAGACTTGTCAGCCCTCACTCACTAAGGGTGTGGAGCCTCCTGGGTTGCTCTGAGTTGCTCAGCTGATGCCTTGCTCGCAGATCTGAGGTGGAAACTGAATTGCCTTCCTAGTGGCAACAAGCGTGTAAGAGTCCAGAGCCTTCTTGTGAATTTTGATATGATGACAATGATCTGAAAAACATGCCCCATCAACAGGGTAGATTTTGTCTGTCTATAAAAGAAATATGAAATGGCTGCCTGAAGATGTAATCTAGGAGGGTTTTTGCCCTGCCCTCAATAGATCTGTATACTGCAAAACTAAGGCAGTTTTTCTAAATTAGTAAGTCTACTCCTAATTCTTCTATTGACCATCCTTGCTAACACAGGAAAGGTGGAATGATCTTAATATTGGAAAGCACCTTTGCTTCAGAAAGCTGGGTAGACATGAGTGCATTTAAAGTGTCATCTTGGAAGGGGTTGGAAAGCAGACACCCAAAGGGAAGGCAGCAAAGGCATGGTGAGAAGCAAGTGGAAGAGCTAATACCAAAGCTGTGATTGCATGCACAGCCCCCGTTCGTCCTCCAGCTCTGAAGGGTGGGAAGAGGTACAAAAAGGAAGTGTAGTTCTTGTCCCTGGAATTGCATAGCCTTAGGAGTGAAACCATTACATCTCTATGTCAGTATAAGGGCAGTTGAAAGGGTTGATGTTAGATTATATGTCTGCAAGTACTTACATGTTATTGGTTGTTCTTCACAACTTTAGGGTAATTTTTCTTGCTTATGTATTTGTTTTCAGGTGGACGAGGAGTATGAAAATCCTCACTCGGTGGATCGTGTCCCAGTGGGAAAGTTGCCCCATCTTTGGGGCCAATCATTGTATGTCCTGAGCTGCCTGTTAGCAGAGGTAATTATTCCTTGCATAGTAGATAAACTTGTATTTCATTTTGTTTGAGATGCCTTGGGCTTTAAGTATAGTTTGGCTGGCAGGTAGAGGCCAGTGTCTTTTACAGTAGAAACATGTAAATATGTACATGAACCATGAAAGCTCTAAGCTTTCAGGACTTTTTTTTTTTTTTTTAATATAGCTAAGCAATTGTCTAATTGTTTCTAATCAAGCTGAGTAAGTTGTCCTATGGTCTGGAATACACTTGGAATAGAGAAATATGCCCAAGCTGACTTGCTGTCTTGGCTGTTCCAGAGCCAGGATTTTGGGCCATTTCAGCTTTACTAGCCTATTCCTTGCTCTATGGATCTACTAGTCAGACACATTAAAGTCAGACTAGTTAAAAGAAGCACAAATATCTCAGTGGAGCTACAAAAAAAAAAAAAACAAATCACTTTCCTGGTAAAATTACGTAAGTTGCTGTAACTCTGAAATAGGAATTCTGCATGCAGATTGTGTCAGTCAGAACCATTTTCTTGTTCTTCCAAAAAATATTGCAGCCATTGTTTTTATTGCATGTCCTACTTTGTGGACAGGGTAGACAAACCAGGCTTTAAGTCTTGCTGTCCTGAAAAAATATGAAAATTGGTTAGGATTTATTCTATATGTCAGAAGCCTTTTGCTTGAATTCTGTTTCCTTACTTTTTTCTTTCTTTTGCATTTTTTCTAGGGATTTCTTGCTGCAGGTGAAATTGATCCCTTAAACAGGAGATTTTCCACAGGATTTAAACCTGATGTTGTGGTACAAGGTGAGGGAATTTCTGTGAATGTTCTGTGTGAATTGAATCATGTGGTGGCAAAGTCCCTGTGTACAGGAGAGATGAAAGATGTGTTTAAAAATAATGTGCATTTTTTTTGCATGGGACATAGATGCTTTGACGACACTGTAAGAAGGAGAAAGAGTTTGTTTGCTTAGCTGCTTTTTTCCAGGAAGGAAGATCAGGTTTAAGGCACTTTAAAAAAATTGTTAAAATTTTAAGACTTGTCTTGAATTGGAGAGTGGCAAACTTAATCTTGTAGTGAAACAGAAAATCTTGGCAGCTTCTAGAGAGAAGAAGCAGGCCTGACAAGAGATGGATCAGGTTAGTCAGGTTTCATGCAGCCCCTTTTCAGAGGAACCAGAGAGCACTGAGTGAGGAGCATCCCTGTACACAGAGTGACCTTAAACCAGAAATTAAGTAGAGAGCAAACACCAGCAGATCAGGTCTTAAAGACTTTTCCGGTGCCTGGACCATGCTGAAAGAGCAACCAGCTCATTTATCAGGAGCAGCCTTTGTCAAGGATCCTATGACCTGGGTTGGTGCTTGTTTACCCACTGTTGGTGCCATGGGAGTAGCATTTCATTATTCCCAAGTGCTTAATTTCCAATAGAAATAAAAATGCTTGCTTATTTTTAGCATTCTTTGGCAAGTATTCACAATACAAAGAAGAATACTGCATTATTAGTCCCAAATCAATAAGCCACTTATCATGGGCAAAACTTCAAGTGGGACAAGAGATGGGTTCTGGGCCTGGATTGTAAATTCCTCTATTAGGGATTTTTTTTTCCTCCCTACCTCTGCCATTTTGTGTCCTCCAAAATATGTATTGCTGTACAAGTGACAGCACCTGTTCCCCAGTGACTTGGCTGCATTGTTATAGTGTGCTGTGTTAAAAAACCAGATTTTAAAGTCATCTTCCCCTTTGATCTATGGGGGAAGGCCCTAAAAGAGACTGTTTTCTAAAAGAGACTGTGTGATTCAAACTAGTGGTACTCAAAGAAATCAGAAGCAGCTGATTAAGTCTCCAGGAACCTGCTTTAACTTCATCTTTGACCCTGCTTTGAGTAGGAGGTCTGAGTAGAGACCTCAAAGGACTCTTCTCACCCTTCTGACCACCACTGTTGTCCAAAGTGGACAGGAATGGCAAGAAATACTGAGAAACAGTGAATAAAAATATGTCAGGTGCCCTATTACAATCCCTTTTGATTTCATGAATCCATAAATTAAGAAAAAAGTGAGGTCTTCATGCCTTTTTAGTTAGCTAAATGCATTTGTTGAGAGGTGACAGTAGAGACAGTCAGTTAAAAAGAGTAGAACAATGCTTTTTACTTGTGTTTTTGTTTTCTGTTACACAGTAACTGTTTTGGCAGAATCTAATCAAATTAAGACTCTGTTGCAAGAGCGTGGAATCAATGTTCAGAGCATTGCTGACATCCATCCGCTCAGGGTGCAGCCGGCTCGCATCCTCAGCAACCTCTACACCCTGCTGGGTAAGTATTTCAACATGGAAGCCTCTCTGCTGCCACACAAGGGGGTTTTTTAAGAAGCTTAACCAACTTAGAACTTCTGTCTTAAATTAGGGACTCAAAGAGGTGGAAAAATTACCTCATTAGAAATGGCAAAGAAAATACAAGTTTCCCTGTGCCCTTGGAGTTAGACAAAAACTGACTCTTCATTTGTCCTCCAGAAACTACTTCCACAGAGAAAGTGGTTTTTGAAAAATGCCTGGTAGAACGTAAAAGGAAAAAATCAAGTATTTTTCCTCTGAGATGTCATTTGAGTCTGGAAACGGGGAAGTATGATTTTTATCTTCTGAACAGGCAGTCTGGGAAGTTTTCTGCTCCAAATCAGGGAAGCTGTGCTGCTTTCAGAGCATCTTTGGGCTGTCAGGTTTTTGCTAAATTTCCTTCCAGCCTGGAGCTGAGATAAGCTGCTGAAGCTCTCTGTCTCTGTTGCAAACCCAGAAGCCTTTAGGGCTTTTCTAAACAAGACTTTAAATACATTCCAGTTCCTCAGCAGTGGCTCTCAATTCCTGTTTTCCTCAGAGCCTGAATTGACTTAAATAAATGCTCCAAAGCTCTGACTAGTTAAGTCTATTTATAACTTTATAACTTATTCTTGATAATCCTTGATGGAATTATTTGGGTCTTGGTGGAAAGTTTGTTACATGTATTCCTCATTTAATTCAGTTTTACTTCTTCAGGCATGCCAGCAACTCATGATTTAAAACTGTGGATACTGCTATAAAATAAAATTGAGGTGGGGTGACTCAGCACTGGTAGATTTTTTGCTGTCTGGACAAGGGGAGCTGTATCCTGCTTCTCTGGCAGTCTGGAGCACGTTCCCATGGCAATTTGGTTACAGATAATGCTGAGGCTGCTCATGGGCTGAACACTTTTTGTTGTGCTGGTTTTTGTTTGTAAGCTTGTTTTTTTTTTTTTAACAGGGAGCTTTTTATGGAATCATTCAAAGTAATGGGGCCTCCAGATAAATGTTAGAAAGTATGCCTTTTACACAGAGAAGCTTCTGGGAAACAATCTGGCTCTTCATCTCAAAGTTCTTCTAAAAAAATGAAACATTTGCAGGGTTTTGCTGAAGCTTACATTTATTCTATTATCATCCATAGCTTTCTTTCACTAGTGGGGGAGTGTGAGTAGGATGACTTGATACATTGTTTTTAACAGTGACTTCCTTGTCCTTGAATGTTCACAGTAGTATTTTTTCAGGCCATGGTTGTTTGTTCTTGTCAGAAAGATTCGAGAGAGCTCCTGGCTGCTGGTGCGGAGGTTGGAGTGTGGATCATTGCTAATAAGCTCTACTGAGAAAAGTGAAACTTACTGAAGCCTGATGAAAATCTTTTGTTGTTTTTAGATGTACCTTGTGTGTTGATTTAGCCTGCAGACATGAGTTTTTAAGGTCCTATATCTGAAAACACTGGAATTTCTGGGTTATGTTGATAGCTTTGTTTTTTGTAATATCATATCTTCACCTTCTTGGTGGGGAAGCTTTGGGTGCTGAGCAATTACTGTAATTATAAGACCATATCCGTGGCCAGTGAAGCCAAAATTTTAATTTTTAATCAAGCCTTTGAAAGACTATGGTTATTATATTGCTGCTTGCTACAAAACCAGTTTGTAGTTTGTAGCCTCACACTCTGTTACTGGTTTTCTGCCTTACTGGTATTAGTGGAGTAAATTTCCTGTCTAAAGGGGTTATTTGGAAAAACACAGGAGTTGTTAGTTAGTTGAGATTTTTTTCTTTCCCTTTCCTTTCCAGGCCGGAACAAGAACATGAAGTTAAGCGGCCGACCACACCGGCACATTGGAGTGTTGGGCACCTCCAAGCTCTACGTGATAAGAAATCAAATATTTGCTTTTACCCCTCAGGTAAGCATGTAAAGCTGGCAGGAAAATCCCTCCTTTCTTCATGGTGAATCATTAGTGAAGCACTTTGCTTTTCCCTGCTGTTCCTGTTTGCTTTTCCCTGCTGTCCCTGCTTTTCCCTGTCCCTGTTGTACCTTAGGTGGAACAGGGCTGAAACAGCAGATGGGCATTACTTTGTTGGGTTTTTAAGAGCATGGGATGATCAGCATGCTAGAACTGCCGATAAATCTCTTTTCAGTCACAGAGTCTGATTTCTTTGGCTTAGGAGAACACAGTGAATCAATAGTACAGAGTTGTTACTGATCTCTGCCCACACCAACATTGTAATCAATGAAAGAGTTTCTGCAGAAATACATCATTTAATATATCTTTCTACCAATTGCTTTGATGAGAAATTTAGTACCACATAAGTGTGCCAAATACTATAACCCCTAGGAAGTGAAGGTGTGATCTTTTCATTATGTTGTTGAAGGGGTAGTAATGCTGAGAAATGGATGTTGTGGGGTTTTTTTCTCTTTAGTGCATTTTTTCAACGTTGCTGAAAGTTTGGGTCCTCATAGAATCAATGGCTCCTATTGATATATTTAATGAAATGCATCACACTTATTTCAATAAACTTATTCTAGCAGTTGGTGCTAGATGGCCAGGGAGTCTCCTGCTCCAAGCATGTACAACTGGTGCAGGATAAAGAATGCATCCACCCTTCTAAACAGATGTTGGACTAATGAAATCTTTAAACTCCAGCTGAAGGCATTCAGTGGACTCTGTGAAAGGCTTCTGTACTGCTTCATAATGTCCAAGGAAGTCAGATTTACTGCAAAAAATGTAGATCCTTTCTCATTCTTCCCCATGTCAGTTGACCACAGCTTTATAAAATGTTAGTTGTTGTGTTCCCTGTACCAATTTTCACTTTTGCAAATAAGGGACAGATTCCTTAGGGATGTGATTTTTTTTCAAAATACCTCTTAGTTCACATCTTACTGTGTAAGTAAGAGCCAATATTTCTGCTAAAATCTTGTCATGTATCAAATAAGGACATACTTACTAGGATATTCCAAAATGGCATTTATCTTTACATTAGCAATACAGTAACAGTTCCTGCTTATTCAAAGTTTTACTCAAAACCTCCATAACATTTTCCATTGTACTTCGAAGCCAGAAACTTCCTCTATTTTTTTTTTTTGAGGTAGATGGAGTTAATGTTTAATGTCACCTTCCTAAGGTTAGCAATTAAATCATCTTGTTGATCTTGACTAGTGTCCACAGAATTTGGGATTTTGTCATTTGTATTTCATTCTCTTTTCTAGTGAAAACATTGATTAGGTGTGGGGCAAAGGCTGACTTCATTCAGATACAGTAATTCTGAAAAAACAGTTAATAACTACCTTCTGAGAATAATTTTAAAAGTAGTTCTGCTTCCTAGGAATTTTTGTCAGCTCACTAGTGTGAGCTGAATTTTGCAGAAGCTGGCAGGTGTCAGCCACTTTCTTATACTTACCATCTGGTTGCTCCAAAGAAGGAAACTGGACTCATCTGTTGAGATTGGTTTTTGACTCTCTTACTTTATCATTTTGTCATTATCTTGTCTGTCTCAAATTTGCTTTGTTTTCCTTTGCTTCCACGCACTGGAATTGGACTGACTTTTTAAACATCTCTTCCTTTTTAAAGATGGGCAGTGTGTTTCCTTGTCTCTGGATTTCTGGGACTTTTTCTTCCTGAATTACCAAAGCTAACTGTGAGTGGCTCAAGGATTGTTTTGGCTAGTTCCTGATTCCTTCTGTGAAAAAATTTCTCAGGACTTTGTCAGTTTGAACTTCCATGTTCTTTATGCCCTTTCCCCTCCCCAAGGCTTATGGGTTTGCTTAACTTTTGTTGTGGCTGATCTGATATACTTTCCATTATTTGTCCAGCTTCTTTGGTTCCAGCTCCTGAAGCAGCCACAATATTCTCTTACTGGTTCTTGGCTTCCTGCTGCAGTGGGAGCAGCACTTTGCCATTGCACATTTCATGTGCCTTTTTCCTCAGTGACTGCCAGCTTTTCTGTGTTCTGCCTGACTTTGGTTCCCAAGAGACAGACAGGCACTGGAGACATACAGCTCCCAGTCCCCAGTGTCACTTAAGCCTGTTTATTGTTTTTGTTACTATTGTTAGCTTTTTTCCACATTTAGAGTACTTCCATCTTCCAGATCATAGGTCAGTGTAATTGGTCATGGGGAGGGTTCTGCTTCATGGCTGTGCTTGCCCAGGTTTTGTTTGGTCAGTCTACAGGTGTAAGGAAATGGACTCTTGCACAAGCATGGATTTCATTGTCACAGTCTGAGGCCGTGTTAGGTTAATTCAGGTCATTTGTGTTGTGGTCAGGAGTAGCTCATATGGCTTTTGTGAATGATTTAAGGGAAGAAAAAAAACAAACAAAAAAAAAAAAAAAAAGGAAAGCACTAACAACTACCCCTATGTTGTGTTTTTCTCTTCTCTAGTTTACTGACCAGCATCACTTCTATCTGGCTCTAGACAATCAGATGATTGTGGAGATGCTCAAGACAGAGCTGGCTTACCTCACTTCTTGCTGGAGGATGACAGGGAGACCAACCTTGACATTTCCCATCACCCACACAATGCTTGGTAAACTTAATTTTCAGTTTCAAGCAGATTACTGCAGGAGGATAGGATGGATGTTGGTTTGAGAGGAGACAGGTAGTAGGATTTTTAACATCAGAAGTACAGTTTAATTTTCTCATGTGTATGCTGAATTTTGATTACATGGTGATATTTAATTTTGGTTTTATTATTCTTGTCTTCATATGCTTCAATCACTGACCATCTCCATGCTATTTCTGTCTAAAGAAATTTCATAGAAATCCCTTTGGAACTTGTCTTGAGTGGGTTGGTGTTTGTCTTTAGAACTTATCCAGGGGTTGTGTTTTGTTTGCTTGTTTGTCTGGGATTTTTGAACAAGATAGTATTGATAGCAGTTGTGAGTTCTGCTTTAGATTTGCCTGATGTACACTGTAGACAACACCCAGTAATACTCTGTATTTGGATGAGATAATCTAAGAATGTGTTGATGAGCTTCTTCCATTATTCTTTTTTAGTTGATGATGGTACTGACATTCATCCAGCAGTTCTTGCCACAATAAGAAAATTAGAAGATGGTTATTTTGGAGGTGCAAGGTAATGTCAGAATTATTAGCCAAATTATTATCTCCATGATTTTTAAAATTAAATCCTGTAAAAGTCTCAGTTTGTACTGGTACTAAAATACTGCAGAGAAGGAAGTTTCAGCTTTATTTATTATGTGGCAATCAAATGGTAGCTGGCCCTCAGGTGCAATGGAAAAGATCTGTCTCCCAAAAAGTGTACCATCTCTGATTGCCATTAATGGATAAAGAAAACAGACATCAAATCTTTGGAAATATGGAGTCTTGAAATACGAAATCTTTGAAATATGAATCTGGCTGGCCTTCTGTTATTAAAAAGTAAATTACTTTCACAGTTACTGGACATGTTTTAAACATTGATTGCATGTAGTACTTGTAAGCTGGAGTGTTCCATTCATCTGTGTGTAAAATATGATGCCACAGTATCTCCCTGTTCTTTTTCTGCTTTCCCCCTCAATCAGTATCTTCCTTTGACAATCAAATATTGTCATGGTTTAACTCCAGTCAGCAACTCAGCCCCAATGGCCACTCACCCTCACTCCCCTTAGTGGGACTGGGGAGAGAAATGGAAGAACACAAGTCAGAAAACTCGTGAGTTGTGATAAAGAGAGTTTAGTAAGTAGAGCAAAAACCACATATGCAGGCAAAGCAAAATGGGAAATTCGTTCACCACTTTCCATGGGCAGTTGTTCAACCATCTTCAGGAAAGTTGTACTCCAGCAAATGTAACTGTGGCTTGGGAAGACAAACTTCTATATCCCTAAGCATCCTCCTTCATCATTTTTCCCCCAGCTTTATAAGCTGACCATGACACCCTGTGGTATGGATGTCCCTGTGGTCAGCAGGGGTCAGCTGCCTGGCTTTGTCCCCTCCCAGCTCCTTGTGCACCCCCAGGCTGTGCTGGTGGGGTGAGAACAGGAAAGGCTGGGGTGCTGTGTGAGCCCTGCTTAGCAGTACCTAATACATCCCTGTGTTATCAGCACAAATCCAAAGCATAGCCCCATCACTCAGTCTTATCCCTAAAACCAGCACAGATGGTTTAGCAGCCTCCAGTTCTGTGAAATGACACATTCATGGGGCCTTCTCAGCCCCAGTTTCTTATGCATTATCCTTGGAGCTCAGGTCCTTGGAGTTCAGGGTCTCTCTTCATATGAGCATACAGCACCCTGCATAATTAGGCTTTGAGTTAGGCCTGTTACCATAGCACAGTTAAAATCAATTAGTACCTAGGGCAGTAAGTACCCAGCTGGATGTGCAACTGTTGTTTTCCTTTTTTATTTTTCAGTGCCAGTTTCTGTGGCTTTACAGTTGCCAAAGGTGGATTGAACAGTAGGTTTCATAAATTTTGGAGGAGCTGTTGAAAGCTAAGTGAGCATTAATCAGTATCAGGATGGGGGATGTTAATGCTCTTTGGCATGTGTCCCCTTTTGCAGGGTGAAGATAGGCAAGCTATCAGAATTTCTTACCACCTCTTTCCATACAAATCTGAGCTTCCTGGATCCAGATTGTGACCTAAAACTGTTTGATGACCGTAATGACAACTGTAATAGTCCTGACAGTGAATATGGAGACTACCCAGCAGATTTCTGTGAAAAAGGTAGTGGTGTTTTTTCACTTGGTATTTTTTTCTCTGTCAAGTTCTATCAGCAGAGCCTGGCTTTGCCTGCAGAGTATGCTCTGTGCACAGCTGATGGTCATTTGGTTTTCTTGTGCACCCAGCTGAGGACAGGAGAATGAGTTCATGTGTGTTCTTCCTGCATTTGTAGTGTGGCATTGACTGGCAGCTGCTACAGCAAAGCTGAGTCTGGAGAGTCAGCAGGTGGGGAGGTGTGGGAGAGGTTAGAGGGAAAAGGATTGTGAAGAGTCGTGGACAAGAGCTTGTGTGGAAGAGATTGTAGAATCTTAGAATCATACAAGTTGGAAGAGACTTTTACAGTCATCAAGTCCAGCTGTGTTCTATGATCTACCAGCAAAATAAAACCCCTTTTGATTCCTTTCACAGGCAAAACTAGCTTCTAAATCTGTTTTCAGTGTCAATTTTTTTTTTCTTTTGTTTCCAATTTTTTTGGCTTAAAAAATCTCTTCCTTACACTGTTTTGTATATTTGAGTGCCCTTATAAATAAGCAATAATATAGTGATGTGTTTGAATAAGAAAGTGATGATGATAAATAGTGATTTTTTTTACCTTTAAGAAACCTTTATTTTTGTGTGAATGTTACACTAGATAGCCAGGATGAGCTGGATCAGTATATAAATGATGTCCTGCAGAGCACAGCCCTGAAGTCATACCTGCCTCCAACTTCAAAGACAACAACTGAACCTCCTGTGTTCAGTGCAAACCATTCCACAGAGGAGATACTGTCAATAATGGCCAAGACAAAGGGCTTGGAAGTTCCAGGTATTTCTCCCTATGGTTTATTTAGTGATAATAATTTAAAAACCTGGTTTGGCTGCTACAAGGGGTAAGTTCAAGTATTTAAAAATGATACCTTTTGACATACTTGTGCCACTAGTTCTTTCCTTATAGAAGAGAAATAAGAAATTCCTTCGCAAGTAAGAATGGCTAAAGTTGTTGCTGTCATGTTCCCCCAGTATCCTGTGTCATGGTGTATACACAAAAAACCTGCAATAAAATGTAACATACAATCAAAATTAATGTTATGGAAGCTGCTAAAGCTTCTTAGTTGGATAGAATTTTATGACCCAAATCAGTTAATTAATTGTTTTGTCTTTGCTTATAAAGGCAGACAAAATGTACTTTTTAATTTTAATAAAGTTGCTGTGAAATGAAATGTTTCAATACAAGCAAAACATAAATATTTACATGTACTTTCTAAATTTGTAAGAACAAATGGAGTAGAGAGGGAGCACAGTCTTTCTAACTAATCTACATTTCTGATAGCCTGATTGGAGGATATGCACCGAAAGAAGACTTTGATGGAATTTGTAGATAGATTCTGACATATGCATTGTTTTATATGCAGGTATGTAGTATTCTATGCCCTGGTCAATGGAAGACTTCCCTTAACTTCAGTGTAAATTAATAACTTCCAAGCTTTTCTGTTAGTTTTTTCTGCAGTCTTTCATGTGCCACATCCTCTGATCCTCCATTGAATTCAGCATATGAAGGTAACAGAGCATTATCCTGCATTTAGCGTTACAGTTTTAATTATGAAGTCTTAGGCCATTTTCTCCACTCATTTGCTGTTGAAATGTTTAAAACACTTGGCAGGGTCAGGTCATTTTGCTGCAGGATTTTGGACTCACAGGCCAAATAAGAGGTATCAGTTGAGCATGTAGCTCCTGAGCCTTTGACATGCTGAAATCAGAAGCTCTCAGAGCAAACCTGCGAGGAGATAAAGTTCAGAACATGAGCTTGTCTCAGTTCTGCACACATCTCAGAAGCACTGCCTCTGTATTTTGATTCTTGGAGGTATTTTTATTGTTTTTACCCAGTCAAGCTACTTCATGTAGGTGGTTTTGATTTTCATGTTACTGAAACAGTCATTTTTTTCTTTGCTTTCCAGCTGTGTCTATGTCTCTTCCCACTAAAGTTCTGAACACACACCGAAAGTCTCTGAATCTTGTTGATAATCCTCATTTCTTTGGGACAAAGGTAAAGTGTGGGAATTTTTATGCTGTTTGTGGGTTTAGGATGCAATGCTGTAGCCTTTCCTCCTGTTTTCCTTCCAAACCCTAGGCCAGGTCTCTTTTTTTCTTCACAGACAAGCCATTCTGTCCAAGGCACTCTCTTGTTTTGGAAATTATTTTTTTGGCTGGATTAGGATTTTTTAGTCAAATAGACACTATCAAGTGGAAAGTTTTTAATTGTAATGGCAATATTTGCATTCATAATGAACCACTTATATACAGGTTAGAGATGGAACTCAAAAAGCTCTAAATTATTTCTACCAAAAAAGAATACTATCTTTCTGCTTTTCTCTTTACAAGTAACATAAGATGACAGGAAAAGTATGCAGATAAAAGTATGCAGTATCCAGATTTCTTTGTTTTGTCAAAAAACAAAAATAGATACAAGGTTCCATTCTGGGGATTGTGTTTCTTGGGGTTAGTCTCCTTTCTGTGCCTGCAGTACCCTGGCAAGAACTAAGTGATGTGTCTGTATTTCAAGTGCAGAGCTTTGTTGCAAGACTGTTGTGATTTTTTAAATGCCATTTTAATTGAAGTTACAGGAAGTTACAGATCTGCTACTTCTTTCAAGGTCATGTCTTGTGATTTTTTCATCCATCTTTGTTATCAGGACCATGAAAATGTTTTGCACTTACCTAAAGATGCTCATGGTGATTTGGATTGCAGGAAGCTTGTTGATCAGCTGAAGGAATGTCCAACACTCCACGATCAAGCAGATATTTTGTACATCTTGCATATACTCAAGTAAGTTGCCTGAGTGTGAACTTCAGCATCTTTAAGTTTGGTCACAGCTATCTGATTTTTCTTGTGCAAGAGGTTTCCACTGTTCAGGTTGCATTTTGAGGGGACAGTGGAAATATTTTGTGCTTTAACAAGCATATTTTCAGTTAGTGTGATTACAGGAATTATTTGGATACAAAAGAAGACTTGTGCAAATTCTAGAGTTGATTGGCACACAGTTGCAAATACATAAAGTCTCCAGGGCTCACAGTTTAGATGCACAAATCCTTTCCATGAATGAGAACACACTCTGCTATATTTGTGGCACTCCATTTGAAGTTCACAAAGATTTGGTGTGATTTTCATACACGAGAATGAAAGTGGAGGGAAAATTCATCTTGTCATTTTCTAACTAAAGGCAAAATGCAATTTAATGAGGTTTCACTATTTGTACTCTAATCCCTTTGCATATTTAGGTATAAAACTATCTAAAATTTGATACTTTTTAAAACATTCTTGGTAGCAGTCTGGACCCATCTGCTGGAGTTAGTAAACACCTGCTATCTAATGGGTTTGATGGGAACAAAATTTGCAAATAGAAACAACAGAATCATCTTCTGAAGTGTGTTTATTGAGCTTTTTTTTTTTTCCTGTGCAGAATACTGCTGGAACCTGTCAGGTAGTTAGCTTTTGGTGCAAAGACAAGTATGTGTTAATCACAGATGGTCTTCCCTCCTGCTACAAAGACTGCATTTTTGTTTATTTTAGTCTGTCTCCTGTGTGGACGTCTTTGATCTTCTTGATTTCCCAAACAAAATGTTTAGCATCCTCTCTTAAAGAGTAAAAGAAATCCTATAAAAAATGTTTTGTTGCTTTACTGCATGTAACACCAGTAATTTCACCAAGGGAGTCTGTTGGGCAGGCAGATGGTCCTCTGGTGGACTCTGTCAACAGGAGTTGAAAAGTCATTCTGTGACAGTTCAGAACATTACCAAAGAGAAGCTATAATGCACTGAATTTCAGAAGTGAATTTCAAAAGTGAATTTCAAAGGAAGAGAAATCTCCTTTGCTTTTTTTAGTAATGGCAAAAGCAACACAGAAGGTTGGTTAGTAGCTAAGAAAGAGGAATGGCTAAAAAATCCCCCTGAAGGATCTGGAAAATGGGTGTAGTCTTCAGCAGCACTGAAGATATTGTTGAGTTCTGCTCTGACAAAGCACTACCTGGAGTGTTCCTCCAGCAAACTGTCCATGTGAATGCTCAATTTAAAGTCTAGTAGGAAATCCTTCTGGTGGTTCCCTTTCAAGGTGCTGGCTCGCAGCTGAGTGCTTGTTATAAATGATCAAACCAAGAGCCAAATTTATGAAAAATTTAACAACGATTTATTGGGTCAATTACAAAAAAAAATAGAATTTCGAGCAACCACCACAATCAAGACAGCGTCAGTCCCGGGTACAGGCACTGGGTGAGACCAGAGCTTTGTCCAACAGAGTGATGGCTTCCCCTCAAAGGTTCACACTGAGTGTCTCCAGTGTCCAGTTTATTTACAGTTTATTTCACCTGAGGTATAGATGACCACATCTTTCTATTCACTTCTTTGAATGCAAATCTATTTCTATACATATGTTGAAATAGACAAAGACGGGTAGACAGAAGTCTGAGCACACAGGAGAAGTTTGAGTAAGTTTGTATCCATTCCTGAGTGCCCAGATGGATCAGGGTGAGTCCAAGTCTTGTGAGATTCCTGGGACACAGCAATTAATCATGGGCCAGGGAGGCTCCTGATGTTATCTCCCAGGTGCAGGAGACAAGGAAATCATCACTGATGGTCCAGGAAGGTTCCATTCAGACATTAAACAGGTCTGACGCTATCTTGATATTGCCAGGAATTAGTTACAATTTGAATAGAGCTTTTTTCCTGGCTGGGAGGTTAAAACATTATTTCTACAGTATTTTATACCTACATGCATCTGTTTATACAGCATGAATTAACTACATTATATATAACAGTGCTCAAGTTAGTGTGTAAGTTCCTGGTATCAAGAGGATTTTGTCCACATACAGTCAGTGTGTGGTGAAGGCACAGATGTCCCATTTGGTATTTAATTCTGTCACCAACATGAGCCAAGCAGTCAAAATCCAGCCATGTGATAAAGTTCAGCATTGTGCCTGATGACAATTGCCTCCTGTTTGTTTTGTGGCAGAGGTGCTGACTGGGACACACAGCTGGATGGACAGTATGGGGTCACTGTCCACTGCCTCCTCAATGAGCTCTACAGGAAGGCAGGCCTCAATCAGGAGTGGGGCTTAATCCGTTACATTTCTGGCATACTCAAAAAGAGAGTTGAAGTCCTGGCTGAGGTATGAAATACAAATAATCCTGGTTCAGCTTCCTGCCTGGAACCAAGATAAAACTACCAGTTTGCTGTTGGGGTTTGTGCTTGTCCTTCTGGTTTTACTTTGCAACCTACATAGTGCAACATTTTAAATTAAATATTGGTTGTTTTTCTGATCTAGAGTCTTACTGCATCCTTATCTTTCATCTGTACTGCAAACTGTGCTAATGTTGGCATGGACTGAGAATGTCACTCTGTAAATAGTTGTGAAGGCTTCATTTCATCTCTGTTAATTGGAGAACCCTAATTGTGTGCTTTGAATGCTGCAGTTGTCCCTGGTAAATGTCTGTTGCTGTTGTGATGGTATGGGCACTTCTGGAGCACTGCTTTGTCAGGGTGCTGGTGGTGACACAAAAACATGTTCTGCCCATTTCCATCCCCTTGGGTCAACAGTCTGCCTTGTGAATGAATGCTTGGAACCATTTAAATATCCGTGACTATTAAGTGGTAACAAGAAAAATCCACTGTTAAGAGTACAGACATGATTTTGATCATTACAAAAAGGTTTTGTAAATACTTCTGAAAGTATTTGTTTAATTTTCTAGTAATCCCGTGCATATTTCTGAGGAGCTCTTTCTGTAATTCCTGGCCATTTTCAAGGCTCTCTCACATCTAGGATGCCTTATTTTAGTGGCAGTCCTGTCTGTGGGGAGCAGTTTGTGATAATCACTGTGCATGGTACTTCATTAAGCACAGAGCTTTTTGCCTTCTCAAGACACAACGGACGAGCAGTACAGACATGCTCACAAAAAGCCATGTATGTTAACTTGAAAAGGACAAAGAACTGGGGAGGAGGAATAGAGATTATCTGTTTTCTTCCATGTTGAGACAGTGAAAATTGACTCTTCAAAATCAGAGGAACACTGCTCTGTGATGTTTTTTGATTCAGGATACTAGAACAGGTAAACTGAACATCTGCTTTTAAAGGAGGTCAATATGAAAGAGTAAACACTGTGGTACTGGGGAAAGTACCTATTTCAGACAGTATCAGGAATGTGATGCAGTATTCTGGGTGCTTGTTTTAGGAGTTATGTTAGTACACAGGATTTTTTAAACTAATGCTGCCAAACTTTTCATTGATTAAAAATATTATTGTCTTAAATAAAGAACAAAACTTTATCATATGACAAGCAATGAATGCCTTTATTGATCTGCCAGCCCCACTAAAGTTCCTAATCTGATCATTATGCTGCTGATTTCACTGAGCAGGGAAACAGGCTACTTTCAAACTCTCATAACCCTGGTGACCTCAGGAGATCTTTGGCAACTATTTAACAGCATTCTGCTGGATTTGTGTGTCTGGTAATAAATAGAAATGCATTTAAATATTGCTAAAGAAATGTAATTAACTTGATTTGGTGAATTAAAAGCCATATCACTTCCACATGACACAGAGAAAGGTCTCTTGCTTTTTGTCTCCTTATGACAGGCATGCACAGACCTTCTGTCACACCACAAGCAACTTACAGTGGGCCTGCCCCCAGAACCCCGTGAGAAAATCATTACCACGTAAGTGGGAGCTCTGCCTCGGGCACAGGCTGCCCTTCATCTTCCTGCTGGTACCTTCCTGCTGCTATTACCTTCTTTTAATCCTTACTCCTTGCCCTCAAAGGGATTTGTAGCCATCCAGGTAGAATTGTAGGCACCTTTGTTCTGGGTGATTTGATGCCAGTGAAGAATTTAGTAGCTGCTTGTGCCGAGTCACTGCTACCTGTGGTTTGACTTCTTGCAGCCCTCTGCCCCCTGAGGAGCTCACAGATCTCATTTACGAAGCCAGTGGCCAAGACATCAGCATTGCAGTCCTGACACAGGTATGCAGCCTGTGCCAAAAGGCTTCTTGGGCTGTGCCAGTGCTGTGCCAGTGTTGCTGTGAGGCAGGGGAAGCCACGAAGACCCACTCTGACAGGTGCCTTTGTGGATCTGTGCTTACAGGAGATAATCATGTACCTGGCCATGTACGTCCGCTCCCAGCCCAGCCTTTTTGTGGAGATGCTCCGGCTCCGCATTGGTCTGATAATCCAGGTGATGGCCACCGAGCTGGCACGGAGTCTCAAATGCTCAGGTAGGAAGCAGCTTCATTGTAAGGGTACTTATGGTAGCATTTTTGCTTCACCCTTTGCGGCTGATCTTTTCATTGATATGTATTAATTCCTTCTATTAACCTCTTATTAACCTCTTAGTTCATATGTATAGTTACAAACCTTGAAAATCACTTTTTTTTTTTTTTATTTAACAAAAGATTTATCTCCTCCCAGCACCCAGTTATTCAAAGAATATCAGAGGACATTCTTTATGGAATAACTCTGTCTCTGGAATTTAGATCCACCTGTCACCTGCTGTTGGAAGATAGCTGTCATATCTTTCCAAGTGATCTTGTTCTGTAAGGGAGCAACTGCTTTCTCATCATGAGCTACAGTGAAGTTTTGCACAAGCTAGGACATAATAAAGATTAATGCAAATAATGTTATTTCTGTGGAGTGTTTGTGGTTTAGTCCTGAAATATATTTTCTATGAAATGTGCCTACATATTAATTTTTTAAAGGAAGGGCTAGCAAATGAGTAAAATGTGATTGGACTTCATTCACAGTTTCCTTAGCTAGCTTTACAGCTTGTTGTCTTCCCAGTGACATTTGTCATTCTATTTTATTTTATTTTGTTTAACTAGGTGAAGAAGCTTCAGAGAGCTTGATGAATCTAAGCCCCTTTGATATGAAAAGTCTCCTACATCATATTCTCAGTGGGAAAGAGTTTGGAGTGGAAAGAAGCTGTAAGTTGTTCATTTTTATGTTAAGTTAGATTGCCTTGCAAGTGGGGATCTATTCTTTCTGCATGTAAAATAAAGGTATAGGTAATGTATTAATCATGGGTGACCAGTGCAGGTGTATGTCTGCTGTGAAATAAACAAAACACATATGGTGGAAGCTATCCTGCACTGAAATAAGATTGTATCAAGTTTTCAGTAATAGGAAGGCAAACTTTTAAAAAGGAAGAAATTTTATGGAACCACAACAAAAGCCATTAAAAGGTCACATCTAACCTGCCTTCAAGAAGCATGTCTTTGATGCCCACATATTCCTGACTGGCACATCAGCTGTCTCCTGGGCTATTCTGTAGACCCTCAGAGACTCGTTGCAATTCCGACTAAATTTTCAATTGCTCACTGTCCTGGAAAATCAGTTTCTGGATATCCAAGAATGGATTGAGGCCCCTTACTTGATACAATCAGATTTGAACACTAGATGTGTTTCTGTGAAAGGATGCTGTCACCAAGAGCATTGCACATTTCTGAAATGATTTGTGTTTACTTCTTAGATAGAATTTAATCTATTCTTCTACCCCTAGAATGTTAAAAATATCCATTTGCTTCTCTAGTGCGACCTGTAGATTCTTCTTCATCCAGCCCTGCAATTTCTATTCATGAGATGGGGCATTCTGGAGCAACCAAAACAGAAAGAAGTGGTATTACTAAATTGAAGAGTGAGATGAAGCAGGTGAGGGTTTTCTGTCAATGCTCATCAGAAAGTACAGCTGTTCTGGAACTGTGATATGTCAGGTTTTATTCCTGCTAATTAACAAAAATTTCCAAAGTTGCTTTGATTTTAAAACTGATCACTAAATAGAGGGCAGTTAAGGGATGTTTCCTCCAAAAATGTTCTTCCTCTTTAGTTCTTGTTTCACATGCTGAATGTAGAACTTCAAAAAACTGTAATGCATTCATGTTGTCCACTGTAAAAACAGCTCTTCTATCATGTTTAGCTAAGGGAAAGTCAGATGAACAAAGAGAAGCTTTTATGCAGTGTTCGTTCTTGTACTTGGCCCAAGTGGCAAAACTGGACCACATGCCTTTTGTAAAAGATCCCTGTGGAAAAGGAATCTTGTTTTGTTTTCTTCAGGTTCTGCTTCTTGAGGAATGGAGGATGATTACTGCTAGAATTTATACATACATATTCAAGTCCAATAGTTTAAATTATACTTCAACTGAGTATATGGAGAGATCACAGAAAACACAACCAAAATACTCTGAATGAATGTGACTGATGGTTTTGAGTGATTCAATTTCTCTATTTTGTGTCTCTATCAGATATAATTTTCTGTTGCTTTAAATAAATAGGAAGGTAGTGGTCAAATAAAATACATTTGTAAGAATGGTTTTATTTTTCCTCATGGGTTATTCAAACTAGGGAGAGAAGGCACCAAGAGACCTTATTGCAGCCTTGCAATATATAAAGGAGGCTTAAAGGAAAGATGAAGAGATGCTTTTTGCTAAGGCCTCTAGTGACAGGATTAGGGGCAATAGTTTGAAACTGAAAGGGTGGGTTTAGATTAGACACAAGGACACTTTTTTAATGAAGGGGGAGAGGCAGTGGAACAGATTGCCCCATGAAGTTGTGGATGCCCTGTCCCTGGAAATGTATAAGGTCAGATTGGATGGGGCTTTGAGCAGCCTAATCTAAGGAAATATTTGATGTTTTCCTTTGACTGATGAAACAGATTGAATAAACCTTCAGAAAGGAGTGGCATTTTTACATGGTCTTAACATGAAGCATTTTCTGGTGGCAGTAAAGATTAGTTAATGATTCTTCATGGGACGTGGTCAGGCAGGGAAGCAGAGACCCCAGCCCTGGTGGCTGTGTTTGAGCTGTGCCACTGCTGCAGCACCATCATGGGTGTGGGGAGGCTGTGAAGGCGCTGCTGGCTCTGCTGCACTGGCCCGAGTTGGCCTTGGAGGTCAGTCTGAGCAGGGCTCCCAGTCAAATGGTGTGTCTGGAATCGGGGCCTTTCCGGGAAGGAGGAGGGACACGGCACTAGATGGCAGCATTATTTTGCTTGAAACACAGAGGTGGGCCTGAGCTGGAATACTTGGACCTCTCTTGACATTATGAACACAGTTCCTTTGTTGCTTTCACATTCCACAGAAACTTGGTATTTTGCACAGAGGAGGAGTCGGCTGGGTTTATTTTTGTACCCCCCCTCCACTTTGCCCTTCCTGCTGCTTCCTGCCACATCTCACTGCATTCTCTGAATAATTGACCAGTGGCTAATGCAGTGACACTTTGGCAGGGGGTTGGGTGGGGTGGTGCAGAATACACTTTGTTATTACAAGGAATATTTCAAGTACTTGTACTAACATCTCTGGAGTGTTGAGCAAATGCAGCTCCCTCTTTTGTGGCTGTTCTTTCTTCAGTCAGAACCATTAACAATGAATGTGAAGACATGGCTTGGGGTGGGCAATTAGAGGAAAGTGCTCAAAGTCTGAGGTGCTGCATCCACATTTCAGCAAAAAATTGCCTTGCAGCTTTTTGTTTAGTGCTGTCCATGCAGTTGGCAGCCTTCTGTCTCTCCAGCAAGATGACCTTCTCATGCCAAGAGAAGCTGGTGGCATTGCAACAAATGGGGAATGGAAGTAGGGAGCTCAGTTTTTCCCTCAGCCCCAAGCCACAGGAAGCTTTTGCTTGCATCTTAATCTGGTTTTTGTGCTGGCCACGCTGGGAGCTCCATGGGTGGCATGGGCTGCCAAACAGGCTCCTGGCATGGTGGGCTCTGCCTCATGGTGGCCCTGGGAATCAGCAGCAGCTGCCCTGGTATCAGCTGCAGTGCAGCACTGCGTGAGGCCAGGGGTTGCTGCAGTTTTTGCCTGAGTACCTGAGGTTATTCTGTATTTCTTCTCCTTGCACCTGTGTGTTACCTAACCTTGTCTGTGTTCTGTTCTCCTGCCTGTCTGACGTTGGTGTCTGGTTTTGTTTTGTAGTTCTTTCATGAGGGGCACTCCATGTCCAGCAGCATGTTTGCTTCCACGGTAAAACACCATCTGTAGCTCTGCACCTGCTCTTCACCCTGTGTTTGTGTGGAAGGGTCTTGGTTCTAGACACCTCCTGTCTTCTCCTGCCTAAAACCTTGGTTTAAAACCCTTCCTCTTTGTCTTGTCTCCATTGGGAACCAATTCTTATTAGTAATGTCCTAATAGAAGTTGAGTCTCATGTTTAGACACACTTAGTTCTTCTGCAGCTTAAGCAGTTGTAGCAGACAAAGTCTATAGCAGATTTAGCTACTTGATAGTGGATTGTTACAGGTGTCTTCAGCATGTAAAAGTAATGCAGTGTTGATAAATGCTGACAGCCTCTGGACAGTGGGGAGCCCAGAACAGCTTCCAGTTGCAGAGATAGGGGTTGCATGGGTATCTCTTCAAGAAGTCATCTTCTTTCAAGGCAGAGAACTGTAGCTCTTCCTAAGTTCTCACTGTCTGCATCTTCTGACTTACTGTCAGTGGCACACCTCCCAAACGCCCTAAAAACACAGCTGCAGAGCAGGGAGTTCTGTCTGGCGTGGTCAGTTTGCAGGGCAAAGGAACAGCAAGGATTGGAACATCAAAGGAACACCAAGTGTGCCTCATGGACATTAGTAGTAGTGGAAATGGACTGTTTGCTGCTGGGGACTTCTTTGCAGAGCTTGGCTATGTAGAGTCTATGAGCCTGCAGTTTCCAAACATGCAGTTTGCAGTCATTCTCCTCCTTCCCCATAACATTGCTCAGGTAGCTTCTTATTTGGAGATAAGAGGATTTAAGATGGCACTTTCAGAGAAGTCCTTTATGGGCTGAAAGTAGCAGGTATCAAAAGGGTAGGAGAACACAGAAGAGTACAGTCTCTGGGAGTGCAAGGAATGGGCAGACTGTGTGTGTGAAAATCACAACAGCAATTTGGTGGTAGTGCCCTGAGTTTGAAAATTATCTGCTGCCTAACTTAGTGTTCAGACCTGGTAGAGTAAAATAACAGAGCAACAAGGGCAATAAAGGAAACAAGGCTAATACATACAGACAGGCAGGCATGATGATTTTGGGGCTTCATCAAGTCAATTTTTAATCTACTTACTTTAATGGAGCTTTTGCATGAGGGCCTCTCTTGCTGGATTTATGATGCTTTGATACTTTTACAGCACTGAGCCCCATGTCCAAGTGAGTGGGACCTCCCTGCAGATCCCCCACCTTGCACACCAGTGACACTGCCCTGGAGGCAGCTTGGGCTTGTTAAAATAGTCAGATGTTGCATTAAACCAAGCAGTGAAGTTGACTGGGTTATGCCACACTGAAGTGCTTGCCTGCTTTGTTGAGAAATGATGGAAGTACTGGAGAAATGAAACTTGTTGCAAAGGGGAGAGATGGGGGTGAAGGATCAGTCCCATCCCATCATCCTGTACGACACCAAGGCCTGTATTTTTTCCCTGGTTCCCAGGCAGCATTAGAACAGAAAAGTATTGGCCAGGAGTGGCACTTGGGATGGTAGAAAGCAACTAACCCAAGCTTTAATGTCCTTACAGAGGGGCAGTACTCCATCCTCTCCCACCAGCTCTTCTCCAACTGGCTCCGGCGGGGACATGAGCTGGGGGGACAGAAAAGGGCAGTGGCTGCGCAGAAGGAGGCTGGATGGTGCTATTAACAGAGTCCCTGTTGGCTTTTATGAGAAAGTGTGGAAGATCCTTCAGAAGGTAAGCTGAATGCTGTGGAGGAAGCAAACAAGCTGTAACTTGGGAAGGTGGTGGTCCAGGGGTGGCATCTTGCCAGGAGTGGAAGTTGGTTGGCAGGTGGAAGCCAGAGTCACTGGTAGAAAGGTGTCTCTAGAACACAAGCTCATGTGTTTCTTTGAAAGTGTGTTTTTCTCTGAAACCACCAATGCTGAATTTTGGCTGAATGACTGTTCCACTGCTGCCTGTTGTGCATGCCCTGGCCTAAGGCACATTGTGAATGCACCTAAAGGGCACTGCAGTGCAATGCAGCTCTGTGCTCCAGGCCAGAAAAGCTGTGAGAAATGAAGTAGGAAACTGCTCTAACTCTTCCAGAATATATTGAAACATCTTGCTGGATCTTCTGAGCTGTATGGCATTCTTAATGTTTTTTGTTTGGTTGGTTAGTTTTAAGTGAAAAGTAAGTCCTTGCCAGCAGCTTGGATATCAGGGGTATAGAAATGTAAAAATAAATGCAACTCTTCAGGAAGAAGGAGAAGGAATTACAAATTTTAACTTATTTCAAAGTGATTATGCACCTGCTTTTCTGCTTTGCTGGATCCAGGCCAGCATTTGGCACCTTGCAGCACTGAGCTGTTCATGCTTGCTTAGTTGGGAAAAGAGTGCATCACCAATTTAGGTTGGTTTGTCCTTCTAAAATCCCTTACACTGAAGCTGTTAGTGTTGATATCAGCCAAGACAAATCATAAATGACCTCTTGGCTATTTACTAATAGGATCTTCCAGCAGAGTGAGCATCACTTCTGACCTAATGTAATAGCTGGAAGTAATTGTATGTTTTTTCTGGCTGTTAAAATTAATTGAGCTTATCTTCAGTATTTCATTCTTAAAATCTTTTTTATTTTAAAATCTGTCTCCTCTTCTTGGTATGTTTCTATTCTATACCTCACATACCCAGATGTGTCCCTCTTTAACCTGCCTTTCCACCATTAAGGTTTTGTCATTGTTTCCTTTCTACCACCTGTTATTTCTCTCCCCCAGTGGTTGACATCCTGAGGTGTGGTGTCCTGGATCTGAAACACATAACTAAATGTTGTTCTAGTGAAAATGAAAAAAGGTTCTTGCTTTTGTGGTCTGTTGTCTTGCTTTTGTGTTATCTTTATTTCCAAACCCCTTCCAGCAGAATGCTCCCATTGATTTGTTCCCTCCTTTGTGTGCCTTTGCTGTAGTGGCTCCTGAAGTGCTCTGCTTCATTAGCTGGGCTGGAGCACAGCGTGCTCTGGTGTGTCATGTCAGGCTATTTCTAATCTTTACCAGTTACATAATAACTTCTTCAGGAAGGATAAAAATAATATTTTTGAACAGGGTTTTTTGTGTCATTTGAGGTTTTTTTGCTTTGGTTATTTTTTTTTCCTAACTGAAAGTTGTTACATATTGGCTTAGAACAGAGAACCCTCAGATTGACTTGCAAGAACTGTAATTTCTGTTCACTCTTGAAATGTTTCAGTGCCATGGTCTGTCCATTGATGGGTATGTCCTTCCTTCTTCAACCACCAGAGAGGTACAGTAAAATGCCCATGATTTTCTAGCCACATGTCTGAATATTTGGATTGACAGTGTAGGATGCGGCAGAGCCTGTTACAGATTCTTGGTTTTACTTTTAGAACATCTGGACCTTCCCCCAGCACCTCTGCCAGCTTCTCTGGGTCTGTGCAGGTGAATTCCTGCAGGCAGGCCTGGGAGGAGGCTTGTGACAGGTTTTCCCTTTGCCTTTTCACCCTCACTGTCCCCCTGTGCCCGCTGGGAGGCTCCAGAGAGGGAGGCTGACCCAGCCCTTAGGGCGGAAGGTGAGGCAGCACAGACTGCTGGAATAAAGAGGACATGTTACTTATTTTTTTTATATGCTGCAACAGCAGGCAATGTATTTTGGCTTCACAGTCTCAGAAGGAAATACCAGTTAAGGATGATTGTTTCTAACCAAAGCTTTAGCTCTTTAGATCCATAATATTTCCTTGCATTTTTTTCTTAGCTGGATTCTGCCTTTAGATGCTCTGGCAAATTTTGAATTCACATCTATAAAACAAACTCTTGTGAATAGAAATCCATCAGTGCAAGAGTGCTGCTTGTGTGCCCAAGACTGTTTTCCTGAGTGTTTCCCTCAGATTTGTCTTTGGCTTCCTTCTTTTCTGAGGAACTATGGTAACAGTGGTAACAGCTGAAGAGAGGAGCTGAAATTTTCTGCCAAATTTAAATGGTGGGGTTTGTGGCTTTTTTTCCAGAAAGGAGAGCTTTATTTATTCCTATTGTGTAGATAAAGAGCCTTCTATTTTTAGCCTGTCAGACCTGGACAGTATCTAATTTTGCTGTTTAAAGCAATTGTATAAAATTAGCACAAACTTCCTAAGGCAACATAACATCCCCAGAGCTATGCCACTGCAAATTAAGCTGCTCTGCAAACAGAAGAGTGCTATTCCTGCATGGCAAAGCTCAGGGGTTATTTAAAAATCATCCCTCTAAGCAGGTGGTTGTTTTTAAAACTCAGTACTAAGTTTGGCTTTGCAACTCACCTGCAATGCCAGAAAGAAATGTACGAGGCAGAGTGTGTGAGACCACAGCCTGAGGAGCAAAGAGTTAATGTGCCAGCTAAGCCTCAGCAGCACTGAGTGCAAGTGAGATGTGTGTGATGGGTGCAGGGCTGGAGCAGGCTCTGGACGTTGTGTAACTGTTTGCAGAATCAGGTCTGGCATCACGAAAACTTTCTGTAAGTGCTAAAGCTGCACAAACACTTTGTTCGCTTCAGTCAGTCTGCCCCCATGTGCAGAGAGGAGCATATGTTCCAGTGCTTGCAGGAGGTGAGGAGCTAGTCTTTTGGATTTGGCAGTTTGTCTTTCCATTTCCACTCAAATTTGGCAGATGACCCCGTGTGAAATCAAGTTTGCAGTGCACGTGGAGTCGGTGCTGAACCACGTCCCCCAGCCCGAGTACAGGCAGCTGCTGGTGGAGGCCATCCTGGTGCTGACCTTCCTGTCGGACATCGAGGTCAGCAGCATCGGGGGCATCATCCACGTGGACAGAATCGTGCACATGGCCAATGACCTCTTTCTGCAGGAGCTGGTGAGCTCAAAGGGCAGTGGGGGAAGCCTCCCCCTTTCAAAATTATCCCCTGCTCTTTTTTTAATGTGTGTGATGAACTTGATTTTGTCCTGGCTCTTCCTCCTACAAAGGCAGAACAAATCACTTAAATATCTTCTGGAAATATATTTGGGAAAACTAATGTAAGAATCATGGGAGATTTAAAGGGAATAAATTTGCAGTGGCTAACAAGCTCTGAAGTACAAGGGTAGATTGAAGTCCTGCTTTATCAAGGCATTGCTATTACCAATATTTGAGTAATCCCACACATTCCTCCCCAAAGGACAAAAATCCATGAAGTTACATGTTTTTCATTTACTTGCACTGATTCAACTAAGTCATGGGGGCCCTATTGTAATCCTGATTAGGGTTTTCATGAGGGGAAAGAGAATTGCTTTCAGTATTCAGCACAAATAAAAAATCATAATGTGGTAGGGTTTTTTCCCAGTAAATAAGCATGCATGCCTAACTTGCTCTACTTTTGCTTGTGTCTTTACAGAAATCATTTGGAGCTACTGGTAGTATCTTGGAGAAAGACACAGCCACAGGAATTTGCCACTTTTTTTATGATAGTGCTCCCAGTGGAGCCTATGGCACCATGACTTACCTAACAAAAGCCATAATTATTTATTTACACGATTTCCTGCCCAGCACAGGCTGTGCAATGCAGTAAGTGAGGCCTCACATGGGAGGAAAGGCTCAGAGGCTCTTCCTCCTCAGTTCCCTGTCACAAACCCCTTGGTTGCTGCCTGTGTGTGTGCCATGCACTCACTCAGCAGTTGGCACTGCTGGGGATGCTTTGTGACACCTACTGCTGGGGACAGGGAGCTGGAATTTGGCCTGGTTTTAGGAGAGTGTGTGAGAAATAACAAATAGTGAGGCTCATTCTGCCCAAAGTGCATAAATGTAATTCGTATTAAATTAGCAAGAATTATACAGTTCTGCCAAGAGGAAAACAGATTACTCTGTGGAGATCAAAAGGCATAATGAAACAAGGGAGCTGCATCTCAGGCATAGAGTCTCACAAATAAGGGAAGTGATGGAATTCATTAATTTTTCTCCTGCTGTGTGTAAATGTACATCATTGTGAATCACTAATGCACAGTGTGAAACATCCAGGGAAATGTAAATTAGAGGAGTAAGAGTAACTTGAAATAACGTGGTGATATTTCTAGTACACTTTTATCCTGATTCTCTTCTCATTTGCACCTAGTCAGTGCAGGGCTAATGCCAGCAGGGACAAACATCCTACAAAATCCACTAATTTGGGAGGATAGCCTCTGTCAGGAAGCTGCATCTGTCTTTAATCTGAATAGCTTCCTTCCCTGCATCCCCAGGACTTCAGGGGCAAAATCTCAAGACTCCAGCTTCTCCAGTGTGACAGACAGTTTTATGCCTGTAATCCTTTCCTCTGAATGGAGCAAGATAAACCTCATCCACTTGAGCACCCTTTCCAAGTCTCCTGATCATTTCCCTCACAAACAGCCTCAGAGTTAAGAATGGCATAATTGTGGCCTTTCCAGTGTAGCATGAGTTTATGGAAGGCTTTGATGTTTCTCTTTGTTTTGGTTTGGTTTTTTCTTTTTTTTTTTTTCTTTTTATTTCCTTTGCATTTTTTCTTTCTTCTTTTTAGTTTGAAGTCACTGGTCTCATGTAATTAGGGCTTGGGCTGCCTGAAGTCTCCCTGCAGACAGTTCCCAGGTTAATGCTGTCAGCTGGAAGCTCTGAGGTGCTGCAGGGAGTAGGTGCATCCTGCATGGAAATGACTCCTTGGCCATTTATAAACTGAAAAGAGAGTTTGGCAGCCTCTGGAGAGGGAAACCCTGCCTTACCCCAGGCACTGGCTGTGGTTTTCCTTGTGCCTGTGCTGCTGGCTTTGCCACCAGCCACATGAGCATCTGGCTAACAGCTTAGGAAAGTGGCAGTAGCTTCAGCATCCCATGGCCACAGACAGGCTCCCTCAGTAGCCCTGCTGCCATGTGAGCAGAAAGGATCAGAGCAATTCTGTCTTGCCAGCGAGAGGTGAAAGAGCAGATAGGCCTGTAAAGATAAGAACTTTCTGAGCTATATAAGCCTGACAGCCTGCCTGCTGTCCTCTCCACAGTCACTGCTGCTACAGCAGTTCCTGGGAACTGGCTCAAGAGAGTGGAGGTGTAGGAGGCCTTGGTGTGATGTGATTTAATGTTTTTTCAGAGACCAGAGGAGTTTGGTAGTCCAGAGGACCAGGAGTCCTGTGTTGGCCACCATGGGAACCATGGGCCTGTGCAGGGGCCAGTGTAAAGTGACAGTTCAGGTACAATTAGCACTTGGGTGTGGAAGTTATTTTATTGGCGTGGTGCCTGTTTTGTAAGGGTTTGCCTTTGTTATTATTTGGTGTGGGTTTTTTAACTTTTTATATGTTTTGTGAGAGTTCACTTGGCTTGTTTCCCAGTGAAAGGAAGTAAAATCCTTTGTCTAGTTTAAGCAGATGGGACAGTGCAGAATACAAGCACAACAGCTTTAGATGGTTCACAGTTACTCCCCGTGCCACCCCCCTTCTGTCAGGAGCCAGGGGCCTTTTGTGCCACCAGCAGCTGACAGGACAGGCTTTCTGGTTTGGCTCAGTGATTCAGCTCCTCTCATACCTCAGTCCTGAATCCCCAAGGGGCTCTCCCTGCCTGCTGAGTGAAGCTGTGCTGCAACTGTACCTTGGCATCCCCTCTCAGGAAGTGATCCCTTGAGGCCAGTCCCCTTCGTGACAGTTCAGGAATGTGTCCTTAGTGGGGGACATCCACACTGGAGGCTGCCAGCCATCCTTCAGAGCTCCTGTGTCTCGCTGTACAGCCCAGCCTTGTCCTCTTTACTGGGGAAGGTGGCAAAGGGGACTCCAGAGCTGCAGCGTCCAGTCCCACCTTGTCACTTCACACCCACCGTGTGGAGGTCAACACTGGGAAGCAAGATCCCACCACACACAGAGGTGTTGGCCCATTGTAAGTGGAGCCTTTTTGTAACTCCACTGGAATAAGGTGGGACTGATCATCACAGTGCATAGATCAGAATGACTGCATGCTCAAAATATACATTATGTATTACCAACGCCATTAAAGTTTCACTGTAAATTTTGTTTGTACTATTAAAGATTTTTCTTTCCCCTCCTCCAAGGCAGTAGAAATAAGTGTGTGCATGTTTGTTCACTCATCTCTCAAGTTACAAAATACTTCTGGAAAAGTGTTCTGTATTTAATAGTAGAAAATAAGATTTAAGAGAGACAGCATTGCCTTAAGCTTGGACTGCTGTTGCATTCTGGATTGGAAGGATGCTTTTTTTGTACTTTCAACACTTCTATTAATGAAACCGAGCTGCTTTACTTAGCTTATCTTTAGCTATTAAAATTTAAAAAGGGACTAGGTTGGAACTTTTCCCTACCCAAAAAGCACTTTATGTGCTTTGGATTTACTGAGGTTGAATGAGGTAATACAGTTACCAAAAAGCTCCTGCTCTTGATGTTGCTTTCAGAGTGTAAGATGCAAGAGAATTAGGTTCAGATTTCCTGACTTCTCCCCCTTGGGAATTGACAGGGTGGTACTGGCAGGAATGGGAATATCGACTTGCAGTCAGTGAAAGGAGACAGGAATGTCAGTGCAAGAGTCTTCAATCTTTCTGCCTTCCAAAAACTCAATTTCAGAATCTCTCAGTTTCCTTTTCTTGGCAAAGAATTTATTTTTAACTATGTGCAAGAATATTTAGATTTGGTAGTATCAAAATATGGTTACTCTTGTGTTCTTACTCATTTCTCTTTTTAAGAAACCCAGTTCATCCTCAGGAAGAGTGTTCTGTGGTGATTGGGGCAGGCTACAAAACACAGGTAGAGACACCCCCCTTAGGCATTGCTCAGAAAGCTAAAGCTTTATTCTGTGATCTATCATGAGTTGCATTAACATGCTGTGGATTTAGCCTTCATCAAGGTCACGAGTTAGCACGGAATCACCGAATCCCAGAATGGATCATGCTGGAAGAGACCACCCTGAATCCCCTGCTCAGACAGGGTCATCCCATAACACAGAGCACAGGACTACATCCACGTGGTTCTTGAATATCTCCAGTGAGGGAGGCTCCACACCCTCTCTGGGCAGTCTGTGCCAGTGCTCAGTCACTGCACAGGAAATAACTTCTTGCTCATGTTCAGGTGGAACTTCCTGTGCATCAGTTTCTGCCCATTGCCTCTTGTCCTGCTGCTCAGCACCACTGTGAAGAGCCTGGCTCCATCTCAGAAACAGTTGTGATTGTTTCAGAGCTCCAAATCCCAACAAGTATGGGGAAAAGTAACCAGAGGCAAGAGGAAGTATAAGTGCAAATGTAAACACCTTTCAACCAAGATCCTCTCAGTTGTGCCTGTAAACTTGTAGAAGGATAAGAGATTGACCTGGAATAATTTAATTCCTCTGAATCATGCAAAGAGCAAGATTAAATGCAGAACTATTCTTTTGAACCAGATGCTTCCTCCCTGTTTTTCTCTCCTGCAATGGACACCCCACAGCCAGCTCTCTCGTGCCTGTTCCATCACCAGGGTGGCTCTGGTATGTTCCTTGTGGTTATCAGTGCTCTCAGCTGAGGACTGCTGGCAGACACATACCAAAGCCTCTCTCCCTACACAGCTGTAGGCATGACCTTGGCAATGTTCAGGGATTAGATTGGTGGGGGAGATGCCAAGAGGAGGGGATGAACTGTAAGGTGCTGGCAGTGTGTGGCAGTGACACAGTAATACTGTAAGTGTGGGTTTTCATCTCCTCTATCCCATTATTAGCAGGTACAGATCATCCAGGAAGGGCTAAATAAAGGCTTGCACTGTGACCCTATCAAGCAGCCCCTTTATGACTAATGACAGCAAGCTGAGCTTCCAAGACAACCCATGAGAAATTCTGCCTTTTCAAGAGGTTGCCTTTTTCTCAAGTCTGTGAACAACATGAAAGGCCTCTAAAAATTCATTGAAGTCAATGTGACCATCTTTGTTGTAGTCTATGCTGAGGACTAACTTGTCAATGGAGTCATCCTGTATATCAATGCCCAGGTGAGAAGTGAACAGTCTCCATGTCTGGCTGAATTCCTCAAGAGAAATCAAACCTAAAGGAGACAGACAAGAGGTTGCTTTTGGCAGTGTTGTTTTCCCTTCCTGCATAAACACACACATGCACTCTCCTTCACTGTAAGAAAGTTACCTGCCTACCATGCTGGGGTTACTGCTTTCATTATTGAAGCACATTTTTACTTTAGGTAATGATTGAATGCTTCTGACAGTGGAATTGAGAAAGCAGTAAAGAGTAAGACTTGAGTGGAAGGGAGAAAAAGCCCCCAAAAGAGTGAAGCCAATACTGGAGCTGGGGTATGTGAGAATCTTTTCTTGTTAAGCTCTGTGCACCATCCCTTATATGATTCCAGCCTGACTGCTTAAAGTAGGTTCCACTAAACTGGAGAAACGATATCACCTCTGGTTCCTCTATATTTAGAAGCCTTAAGGAGGAAACACAGTGGGGAAAAGATAACTGGTATAGGCTCCCTAGAGCTGACACAGTGAAGGTACTTGGACTTACCTGAGTGATCTTTGTCAATGATGTTAAAGATGATCTCCAAATCCTTTCTGTATCTGCACAGTGTTTCTGCCAAAGCTGGCTGAGCCTGGTTTTGAAATCACATACAAGAAGCTGTTCAGACCTTGGTTTGAGTTAATTTAACCAACAGAATATCTACTATCCAATTTCCATTTTCCAGTTTAACTTGTCAAATGTAAAAAACCAAATCTTTATGCTTGAGTTCTCTGGAATGACACTTCTGTGTCTTACCCTGAGGAATAATCAGATAAACCCCATCACTTTCAGATGGCAGGGCAAAAGGGAAAGGAGCCCTTCACACCTCCTACCTGCAGTAATTATTTGTGGAAATAATCTTGGATGATCTGGGGAAGACAGTATAGACCATACACTCATACAAAGCACTCACCATACAGATTTGAATGGATCCTGCTGTTCAGGAAAATTATGTTGTTTAGAACCTCTGTTCTAAAGCACTATGCAGCATTTGGTAACAACTGGGCTCTGCAGAAGTGACCTCAGATACCATAATATACATCTAAAAGTCCATCTATAAATGTGACTTCCTCCCACAGGGGCCTGAACTGCCTCTGGAGCCTGTTTGAAATGCTCATTTCAAAGAGTGAGGGTTGAGTGCTCTGGGCAGGATTTGTCACATCTCCTCAGCTCCGTTATCTAAACACCCTCAAGAGCCAAGAGAAAGTAAGAAGCAGTTCTAGCATGTGATTCATCCAACCTATTTTAAGCATCTACCTTAGCAGGGAATGATGATTCGTACCCTAGCAGTGCTCATTTTCCTCCAGTGACTATAAAAGGAAGCTCAGCAACTAGTTCAGCTGTGGATGTCTACTTGTTGGGCCAAACAACTGTTTTGTGCTTCAATTTGCACCAAAAGTTGTTCCTCCAAGAATTGCAAGGACGTGTTTTCCTCTTTACCTCTTTTATAGGTTGACCCATTTTCAAATCATAAAAACAAGACATGAAGTCAACTTCTCCATCTGGGTTCATCTGTGCTAGCTGAGAGCGCAGCATCCTCCAGGGCAGTTCCAGCTGTAGGACAGACTCCATCGCTGCAGCCCAGTCATTGACAGAAATCCTGCCTGCAGAAGGGGTCAGGTCATGGTTACAAGTACAGGACACAGCCCACATCAGTCACCAGCACAAAGGTTCCAAAACACAAGGATTTTCCCTGAACCCTGGGATAAAAACCCTCATAACAAAGGAGCAGTGGGGTTGGACTAGGGATTTCCACAGGTCCCTTCCAGCCACAAAGTTGTGATGCTGTTATGATGTTCAGCATGTTTTAACACCTTTTGAGAAAGCCAGATTATGCCATGAAGAGTACTTCAGGTTTCAGCTGAGCTGCAATTAGAGTGACATGTGGCTGAAAACTCAACCACGTAGAAATATGTGTAACAGCTGTTCAGTGGCCAAAGAAACAACATCATGTTATTGAGTGCCCTTGTAAGGACACTGTCAAGTGAGGAGCCATCACAAGGAAAACTTGCATTTGTGGCAGAAATTAACTTCTTGCTTCTGCATAAAAGGTTCATCTATTAACTTAGCACTGACTTTTCTTCAGCTGAGGGGTGTGTGCCTGCTAGAGGCATAGGCAGGCTGTGTGGCTGCTGGAGGCATAGGCAGGCAACTTTTGTCAGATACTTCCCAGACTCAGAAGGAGACCCATTCCACATCCCCCCACCTGAGACCCCAGTTCCCTGTCTGACACATTCTGAAGACACTCCTGCATGAAGGTGGTGGTGACCTTTGGGCTTCTGGAACTGGATTTGCCTGCCCAAAGTCTCTACCCAACAGCAAACATGATTTCTTTATTTGCCCATGTCTTTCAGTTTTCTTTTTCCTCCTCCAAGCTTCATCCCCTCAAGCTGTTTGCGCTAAGCCTTTCCCAATGACTGTTCTTCTCTGTGGTCATGAAAAACAAGGTCACCCAGCTTCTGCTGCCCTCAGCCTGACACTGAGGCAGGCAGGACTCCTCTCCATGGGGCTTGTCCCCTCTGCCTCCCACACACATGGAAGCTGTTTCCCCATGGTAGCAACTGGACAGAGAGGGAGTACCTGTGCCATTGGTGTCGTATTGTGCAAAAGCACTGATGAGTTCAGACCTGTGTGCATAAATCTTCTCTCGTAAGGACTTTAAGGCAGATGATTCAATTGTACCTACCCTAGGAAGGAAAAAGTCAGCAGATTATTAAAGGATTAAAATCCTCTCACATGTTCTGCTTTTCAACACTCATTACAAAATTCTTATATCCTTTACCATGCAGTATGTTTACGGCGTAGTATGTTTAAGTAGAATGACTCAAAACACACAACATTCAGCAGGGGGAAACCCCAAACCAAACAAAACCAACAATGCTCCATAAGAATAAACTGAGTTTATGAGATAATTAAGTTTACGCAGGTAATTCTAAGCTGCTTTCCTTTAGTAATCTGACCACACTACTAGGCATGGCAAAGCTGTCATGATAAACTTTTGAGACTCAAGTCATAACAGGATTTGTCCAGATTAACACTGCAGCCTTAAAGCAGACAGGTGCAGGCCATTTATGAGTCCCTGACAATTGTCTGTTCTAACTGCTTACCTCACCTATTTACCTTTGGGTGTTTCTCGGGAAACCAAGTTAAGCAGCCAGAACATGTTTTGTCTACTGTATTAATTTTTAAATTGTAAAACAGAAAACCAGTGAGAATCAAAGAAAATGGATGCCTATTCAGTTATTGAATGAAGCTCTAGATTTGGGCAGGTGCACTCACTGTGAGGTGAGTCCATGCTCACTGCATGCAACACAGAGCTTTACCTCTCACGGAGATTCTGCCTGCGCGTGAGCTTGCTGACCTGGTACTGCACAAAGCGCGGGGTCAGCTCGGGATTCAGCTTGATGTAAGCGCCCCGGTTACTGCCCTCCTCGTAATAGTTAGAGGCAGAGAATATGGTGATAACCTGACACAGGAAACAAAGAAACTGGATTGGCCAGAACAGCTCTTCTGGACACTTATTTCTGAAACTGATCTGAGAAAAAATTCCAGGTCACAAAATTATGTGTCTACATATAAAACTCTGTCATTCACCAAATTGCTCTTCCCTTTTGAGTCAGAGCTCTGGGCCTTTATTTTTGACCTGTCAGACTTCAGAGAGCAGTGAGATATAACATGCTATTTAAGAGAAACCTCTTTCTAAGAGAAACCTGATTTCAGGATTCTTGTTGGCCTCCCAATGCAGCATGTAAGAAAGCAGGGGCAGAAGAGAAATCAGTAAGTTAAAGGTTTCTAGAGCCTTAGAGCATGTCTTGAACTGTATTTACACACAACTCTTGTTGGGGATTTTGTTGGTGTCCATTTGTTTTCATGTAAGTAATAAATTGGTCTTCACTCCCTAAAGATGTAAAGAATTTTGTTACGCAGAACTCAGTAATTTGTTGTAACATCTATCTAGGACAAAGTTCCCCCAAACCCAGTTTAACAAAGTGACTGTCTTTTTTTAAAATAAAATTTGGAGAAAAATCTACTGTGGATGTTCCTGTGAAATTCACAGGAGAATTCTGCTTTACATGGAAGCAACTTACCTTCCCATCATGACTGATCTCATAACCTTCTGGCTTAAATTCATGGGACCTGATGAGCATCTTCAGATTATATCTCTCAAACAGCTTGGCAGTGACATCAGGACCAAAGTAACAGCCTCCTCCTCGACACTTGTTTGGTGTGCAGCCATTTTGGCTCCTTGGATCACTCCACAGAATGTCAAGGATCTATAAATAGCAAACTCAAGCAAGTGAGGACTGATAATAGGGGAAGACTAACAGGGTATGGCTGTCTAAAGTGGTGGCCACAGCAAAAGCCCCAAAGTACAGGGAGAAAACACACAGGTCTTGAGGTTTTTCCTTCCTTTCAGGAGCATGTTCTTTTGGGCTGAGACTTTTGTTCCACTTATAAAGAAACATTATCTAGATATTTGACTAACTTTTTTGTTTCAGAAGAAATATAATTTCAGCAATGTACCTCCTTTCACAGCTGAGGTTTTCAGACTTGGGCAGGTGCACCAGAAACATTACCTGGGCTAATTCAAAGAGAAGAAAAGCTGCCTTCTTCACATGTCAGTAGAGAGGCAATTTCTATTTCCCAGCACAGACTGGACAACCACATTGGTCAGTGGTTTTACCTAAGCTTGGGAGTACCTGCTCTAAACATGACAAGAGTTGCCTTTGCCTTTATTGTCTTCAGTTAGCTCACGTTTCAAACTGACATTTTCCATATTAGCATTTTAGCAGGGTTCAGACATGAAGATGAATTATCATGGTTTAATTCTAGTCAGTAGCAAACATTATTCAAAATGTGTTTGTTTAAACTTTTCTTGGGCAAGGTTTGCACTCAAACATTCCACTTCATGTTTGTGAGCATGGCTTAGTGGATGCTTGAGTAGCTGGGGGAGTGTCAGATTTGGGGGGAAAGGGGAGCCTTGCTTGTGTTCATTATGTTAGTTTGTAGGTCAGGTAGGTATCTTGGGAAATCAGATTTTCAGAAAAATTAAGCTTTCCAAATTGTCACAATTTATTAAATTACAGCATAATAAAAGCTCTATATATGCTCTGATATTCAAGATTAAATGAACAGCCAGAGGACAAACACTTCCCACTTCTGAGTAATCTGCCTGTATGTCTCAGGAGCTGGGTGGCTTTTTTTGGGCTATATCAGCATTCAGCTGCCAAAAGTACAGCCAAAAAAAGGTGCTTTATCTCACCAACAATTGCAGTCTGACCTGTTTAAACCAAGCACCGTTTATGTACCAACAGATCCAGCCACATGAGGGCAGGCAAACCTATTTCCTACTGAGCAGTTTCCTCCTCCTAACGACTGTGAAAAGAAAATACTGGGTGAATTTTACTTGTAAGGCATAAACACCCTTTTATTACCAGATCTACAAAGCTTTTATTACCAGATCTACAAAAAGCATCTAAAAAAGCCCAATAGGTATCTAAGTTAATCCTTAGAATGACTGTTTTCCTGTTGAGAGGCAGTTCACTCAGACTCATGAACCCACTGCTGGAACAGAACTCCGAGTTTGTGCGGGAGGGGTTTGGTATCAGAGTCTTTGGTTTCACCTACTTGTTTCCATTCCTTCAGGGCGGGGTCTGGAGGCAAATTTGAACCTGAAGGCTCCGTGAAGCCTGATGAAGAGATGTGTTGGGTCTTCCCTGCAACATGCTGGCTGGCAGTGTGTTTACTGGGTTTGGTCACGGGAGTTTTCTTCTTCACTTGGTCCTGTCTGTTTGTCCCTGACTTTGGTGGCCGCATCAAAGATTTCAACTAAAAAAAAAGTTACCATCACAACAACAAAAATTGATACAGAGATGTTGGCTAAAAGCACATCAGCTCATGTTTCCTGTACTCAGGAGAACTCCTTGAGGGTTCAACTAATGTTAACTCCCATAATGTCTTGATTTCACAGGTTTGGGAGAAGCTGCAGGTATTTGGCACTTGCAGAAATTTTGCTTTATACTCTTCAGAGCTGCTTTCATATCCTTATCCAGACACACACACTCATTCCAAACACAGTAAATCTTGAGGTCTCACTATGCAGCAAGTAGGGCCTGGGCTCAGGAAAGACACTTCAGTGCCCAGCTTCCCTAGAAACAAAATATACATTCATATTGAATAGAGGGTGAAACTCCATTCACTTCTGCTCTGACACAGTACCATGCTGTTAGATTAACTTGGCTAAATTAAATGGAGTATCAGGAAGACAGTAGTGAAATGGATGGAATATTACACCACATGATACTGTTAAATCAAACCCCTCAAACATGCAAGGGCATTTGCTTTTCTGGAGTGGTGCACTATGGTTCCACGAATGATCAGTAACATGGTTTCTCTCCAGGGAATGTCTTCTCCTTTGAAATTCTCTCATAGTAGCTTATTTCTAGAGCAAAGCTAAAATAAAACCCAAAAACAAACCAACCAAGCAACCCAAAAAACGCAAAGCAATACACAAAATCCCTAACCAAAAAAAACCCACCCACCAATAAAACATATACAGTCAGCAGACCCCTGGATTTTACTCTTTAACAAAGAAAAGGACTAATTCAAAACAAATGCACAACATGGGGTTATTCACCAGTGCACTGACCAGTATTTGAAACCTGCCAGCTGTACCAATTAAAATACATCACCTGGCCTTGAGTGACACTGCCCTGGGTTGTGGCCCACACATGTCTCATTAGCAACACTCTCCTGTGGCAGCTACCTTGACCTGTTAATTCTGCATTTCACAGATACTGCATTTCACAGAAACATGCAGAGCTGAGCCCTGGTGAAAGCATGGGCAGAACTCAGCTCATGGTTAGGATCTATCTGTAGTTAGGCACCCAGTTTTAGTGCACAGCGGTGCAGCCAATGAAGCTTAGATATTCATGCCCTTTTTCATATCTTTAATGTGTATCTGACTGTCCTGCAAAGCATTTATTTCTGCTTTAGAAAATCTGAGGATGACAAAAATAGCTCTAGATTCCACAGACATTGATGCCAGGGTACACTAAGTTGCTCAAACATTGGTCTCCTATGCCATCTGAGATGCTCCACTGCGAATTAGTATGAGGGGGCAGACACAAATCTGGCCTAAAAGGGGACTGGTGGAGGAGACCTACAGAGAAGACTTTCTTCAGAGGCAGGCTAAGGCCAGAGCCAATGAGGCACCTCCTTGAATAGCACTGGAGACGTGTGCCTAAGTAATGATCTCCACCAGATCTCTGCAGACATCTTGATTTAGTTGCTCAAATCGAGACCAAATCCCCCACCATTTTCCACTGATTTGAAAGGTCTGTGTTTGCTCATCATTTCAGAAAAAAACATGAACATTTTTGGCTTCTAAATCCCTGAAAAGCAGTGGACTCTGTTTTATCAAGGCCAGTTCTTGAATTTTGATCCTTCTGGAAAGGCTCTCTCACATGTACAACGTTCAGCTGCTGCCAAGGGAGCACCTCACAGGTGGAGAACTTCCCCCACACAACAGATGGCAGAAGCACAGCCCCAGGAAAAAAGGCAGCACTGGAAATATGTGGCTAAATTGAATTTTAAAGTGTTTTAAGGAAATGACCAAGAATCAAGTCGTTTTCATACTTTCTAGCTAATGTGTCATCACTGCAGGAGGAGGCATCTAAAGTGGCTTTAGCTATTTTAAGGTCAAAAGACCCATGTTATGTGGAGAGCCTGACAACTGGCTCTCAACACCTACTGCAACCTGCCTTCCTAAGCCCTGATTTTGAAGAAAAATTGGACTATTATTTTTCTTACATGCCTTATATATATACTGCTGCCATTTCCTTTCCTAATGCAAATGACCTGATCCTAGCATTCATACCACAAAATTTTTAAAAGAAAACAAAATTACCCTCACATGAATATGATCTCTTACCTTATTTCTCTCAAGTGCATTCAGGAAATCCAAATCTGTGGTGTCTGAAATCCCCCCATGTAGGATAAGAACTTTGCTATCAATTATCGTGGCAAGGGGAAGCCAGCTAAAAACATCTCGCAGAAGACTCAAAATTTGTTTCCAATGGTCCTGTAAAATATACTCTTACATTAGATCCTATTTCTGGCAGATTTTGTTGCTTCTAAGTTCAAGATTTTGCTGAAGCACCTGCTACAGTTTATGTGATCAGTTTTGTTCAGGTGATATCCTGGACTGCAACCCTGACAAACATGTTCTGACATTTACTTTCGGGCCATTTGATTGTGTCTGTAGTGTTTCATTTTTTCTTACATGTTCACCTCTTTTTTGGTGCTCTTGATTGTTTTTATGGATGTTACTTATTTCATCCCATAGATCTCTGGGCATAAGAGACTAGCACTTAAAATTGTTTTGTCATTTATTCCACTGATAGGCCAAAATAATTTCCCCTACATCACTAAAATAATACTCTGCTACACCTAAATAAACTGGTTTGACTTTTTCTTGTTTACACAGGTTTCATTTTACATGTGCAAGACTACAAAAAAAAATAGAGGAAGGAGGAGGAATCTTACCTTGTACTTCTTTGAAACTTCTTTTGTGAATCCATACCTGAAAACAGGACAGCATCATGAACTGGGTTTCAGCATGCCACTTCTGCATGGTTTCCTGTGCTATGGTGTTTTACTGGAGTTTTCTAGCCCCCCTTTCTCGTCTGCCATTCTATCTCACCTTATCTGAAATTTACTTGCCTCCACTCTGTCTTGAGACTGAGTTAAATTTGTTTCTTGTGCATAACAGATGTTGGGAACAGAATCCAGCCTAGTAATTATTAGAGGCCTTTTTGCCAGCTCTACCTTTTAGATACCAGAGAGAAATTCCAAAGGAACGGATGATGGGCAGAAATTCCCACAAAACCTTCATGGAGCTTTTGTCTTAAATATCATATAATCATGGAATCATATCATAGAATGGTTTGGGTTGGAAGGGGCCTTAAAGATCATCTCATTCCAACCCTCTGCCATGGGCAAGGGACACTTTCCACTTGACCAGATTGCTCAGAGCTTCATCCAACTTCATGTCTTTCCCCCCACAAGGGACAAGGATTTTGATACCTAATTCTTTTAACACCAAGATATCCTTCATCAAGGGGCATTTTCACAATACTCAGCTTTCAAATTTACCAATGTGCAGCACTGCTAATCAAAATGCACAGCAAAGACACATCTGTGCACTCCATACCATCACAGATGTAGTTAATATTTTTTGCTCTTTTGGGGAGGAATTTTCCTCCTTGTGGATTAGGTAACTGATCTTGGTTTATGTTGTTTTTTGGAGTGTTTTCAATTATGTGCTGAAAAAGTAACTGTCATGGGAAACTGATTCTCTTTTTTGGATCATTAGTAGGACTTGCCTATAGGGCTCTGACCCAGGTGCTAACACAGAGGCCTGTGTTAAAACAGCAATACATCCTGTGAGCCACATCAAATGCTCCAAGGGCTACAGCAGGTTACCCACCAGTCAGTCACCCAAGGCTTTCTGGGGCAGTTTAGAATTGTAGGGAGTAGGACTGAGTAGTTCTCACATTTCTGAGATGCTTTTTGTCTCCACATCACACTTTGACTACAGCCACTGGCTGTGCTCACTTCCCTTGGCTGCACTGCTGAGTGCAAATGTCTGTGTTAGAAAACGGGGTGTCAGCTTTCCTGCACTGACACCTCCAACTGATGAAGCTCCTCTGAGTAGAGAGTAGGATATTTACCTGCCCCTTGGGTTAGACAAGTGAAATCTTAGTTTAAAGTTAAGTAAAATATCAGATTTAACTAAATATGTGCTTTAACCAAAACATCATCCTTCCATCTGTCCTTCCCCAATTTTGATACTCTGGAAGCTGCACTAAGCCCTCTGACTTCAATGGATTATGATTAGATCAAAGACAAGACATGATTGCCATTCAAATGTCTGTGTGTAGTGAGAATGTTCCTTCCCAAACACATGCTGAAAAGGCAAAGTTCCACCTGACTTCTTAATAAAACATATTCCATTTTAGGGTGTCACAGTGGCTAAAGTAGCAATCAAAAGCTCAAATATTTCTAGTGATAGGCCAGATATTTCCTGCCCCACCCCCAAAATCTACCTCAGGTTCATGATGTAGTCTTCATGGTTTCCTCTATTCAAGTGTAAATCATTGGGATAGATAAGAAGAAATGCAAATAGGATTATAAGAATTTCCATAGAATTTTTCCCTCTGTCGACAAAATCACCATTAAAGACATAGGGGTTTTGTTCTGAAGGCAGACCATTCTGCAGGAAAAAAAAAAGAAAAAAAAAAGGGCATTTAAAGAGGCTGCAATGTTACTGTAATAGAGGAAATAGTATTCAAATGAGATCCCATTGCTAGAGATTCTGAAAAAAATCCTGCATAATACAGTGATCTAAAAAGCAGCATTTCTTTATTTCCACTGTTTAGAATAAAAACCTTCATATCAGACAACCTGAGCCATTAGAAAAGAGAGGACCTCTCTGGCTGTTCTTACAATGCCACTTCTAATCCTTTCCTCTACCTATTAAATTAAATTGAAAGGGACCAAAAGGAACATCAGTCCTGTAGTAAAATAAACATTTTTGTTAATGCAACTTTTTCCAGGAAATTACACACTTGCAAACAGAAGGGAGTCATTCAGTTTGAATGGAAGATAAGAAATACATGAAAAATTATCTTCTCATGTAGGTTTGAATGGATTTCATATATTTACACTGTTTGTAGTGTATGCTTCCAAAACTCCTGAGAAGGACTGTGGTCCAGAGGATATAAAATTTTAAGACAGAACTTAAGACTTGAAGAGTTTGATTTCAGTTGCTTTAATCCTGAAAGCACTGCTTCAATTTTACTCATGAGAGCCAAGATATACTTGAAAGCTGATAAACTGAGAGGTTGTATATACAGGTATTTCTCACCTTATTTTTTTCCTGAAGATACAAAGAAATGCTTTATTATAAATGGTGATTTAGTAAAGACAAGTATTTTGAACTGATGGTTTGTTTTATTAGATTAATTACCAACACATCAATGGGTGCCATCAGCTTACAGAAAATATAGCACCACCTATATGTAGTATCATAATTTCCAGTCATGAGTATCAGAAATAGCATTTCAGCTATGACTAGCCAGAAAAGGGAAACCTCTGTTTTCTCAATTGATATGCACAAGAAATACCAATAGAACATCTATAAAATTACATTATAACTGTGGAAGCCACTCTTCAAAGTTCTGGCAGCATTGCAAGACATCCCATTTCTTGAATATATCTACAGCATCAGTGTTTCTTGTGTTCCTACGGCATTACTGGTATTCTGCCTTAGTGGATTTATTGCAGGATGTGTAACATGGCCAGGGACTCAATGTAATGTGTAATTTCAATCCTTATGAGAACATTTTTTTTATCCCAATCAGTGTTCTGTGCTTTCATGATAGGTTGCAGTAGTGAACCCTGGTCTCTCCATCCTGGCTGCTGTAAATTCAGCTTCCTTGGATTTTGCTATAGCCTGTCCTGAGCCCTTTCCAAGTTAACTTAGAAGGGGCCTGTGCTTGCTCTGTGCTCACAGGCCTGGCAATGTATGAGGCTCTTCTAATGTGGTGGTTGAAGTGATTTTAAAAAGGAGAGGTGGAACAGATAGCAGAAACTCAGCAGCAGTTTCTGGAAAGATAGATAAATAAGAAATAAATAAAAGCTTTGCCTTAAAACCAACAGGCATGTGAATCCACCTGCAGATTGTGAGTACACCCACAACCACTCTAACTGCAGTCCTCATGGAAAGATACATCTACTGGAGCACTCTCCAGACTCTATCACCCTTCTTTTGGAAAAGATTACACACAATTTGAGTTTTAAACAAGTTTGGTTTGGACTTCCAACTTCAATGTGACATTTTAATTTTGTTCCACACTCATGCACTTTCCTTTTCTGTGGTTTCAACCAACAATGAGAGCAAAACTAAATTAAAGGCTGTTGCAGCCTCTGACATGTTAGAGAGGCAAACAAGGCCCTCTAATGATTAGCAACTTGCTGCTGGGCATCATTACTGTTTCTCCTGGGTTAGTGATTAATTAACTTCCGTTTGTTGTTGGCATTTTCTACCCCTTCAGGCCATTTCTATCTATAGCACCCCTTTAGCAATCTAACTTAGCAATATGTAATTTAAAATTCAAGTTTCAAGGAATATCAGGAAACACTGTAATTTAATGAAGATTAATGAAGGGTCTGAATGAACCTTACAAACTGTTATTGAGAGAAAAAAAGAGTGTCTTAGCTTCAGCCAAACCAGGTGTAAGGATTATACACCATCTGCAGCATTGTATCAATATGCTGCAGATTGCCAGCTCTGTGTGTTTGCTGGGGGTGGTCTGTGGAAGTGACAAGCCTGGTCTGCATGCAGGCCTCCAGAATCCATTGCAGCTCTGCACAGCCCTGTGCAGACCAAGATCACTCCCATGGCATTGTTTAGGATTGCACCCTCTTGTTTAAGGTAGTTTGTACCAACCTGGAAGATGAAATCCCTTCCAACTGAAACAGAGTTTAGGAAGGAGAAAAAAAATTGGATCCCAGAAGCCAACTGGGTTCACTGCTCATCTGAGTAAACTGCTCAGAGGGGACACAAAACAGTGAGATTTAATTTGCTTCTAAATAACTAATCAGCTCTATCTTATGCTCTCTATATTCTCCACTACTTTGAAATGACAAAACATTTGCCCATTTTATTTGGTTTGATGGAAGGGACTTCCCTAGGAATTTAACAGAGAACAACTGGGTGTTATCTCTAGTCTGAAGTCAGTGGGAGTTTTGGCTCTGAATTTACTGAAGTCAGGATGAGAGCTGCTTTTTATTTTTTTTTTCTCTTTATAGCATCCATTAGAGGGGGAAAAGAATCAGCATCTGTTTACTCCAAAAAAAATAAAATGCAGGCTGAATGCAGTTGTAAATATAATTATATCTGAGCATTTATCTCCAAAACAGTTATATTTCCCATTCCAGGTTCTGAGTATGAAACCTATATGTATCATACTTGTTCCAGTTTTAAAAAGAAAGCTTAACAACCAAAAGACTGCAAGCCAAGGACCAGCTAAAGATGGTTGATTAGTAAGAAAAGCAGGACTCTGTAGAAAGGTCTGATTATATTTTAACTATACTTCAACAGACTTCAGGTGTGCACTTGGGCAAAACAGCCACATTTACGTTGAACAAGTTTCAGATGAAGAGTAACAAAGCTGGAATCAGGGGAGAATGACATCATTGAAACACCTGGTTTAGCTCACTGCAGCCTCCATTCAGTGCAGATGAACATGTAAGGATCTGCCACAAACCCTTCCCCCTGCCCCGGAAAGCTCAAATCAAAGACAGTACCTGCTCAGTCAAAGGTGCTGATTCATCCTGAAGATAAATGGGAAACTAAATACACAACATTTCCTGCATCTTCAGTTAAACATACAATCCTGGCAAAGCTAGCCTGGAGCTTAATTTGTTTTACACATCAGTAAAACAGAGCTAGGCATTTTTAGCATGATAAAAAAGGATATGTAAAGGGTGCGCAAAGCACTTCTATTTTGTGCAGACCGTGTGACTGCTTCCAAGGCTTAAAAAGCTTTTAAACACCACTCTTTCTTGTTTCCTGATAAAAAAAAAAAAACACTCCCCTCCCAAAAAAACCCCAACAACAACAAAAAAAACCCCAACAAACCCAAAAAACCAAACCAAAACAAAAAAATACCCAATCAAACAATGAAAACCTCCAAAACAACCCAAAAGCAAACAAAAAACCTGCAGGTATCAGTGTAAAGCCTAAATGAAAGCTTCTGCATTTTTTCTTGAATGTTAATATTATCCATGGTGCAGCGTTACATCAGGACCTCAGCTCCTGATTTTAGCAGACTTCAGTCAATATGGAATTTAAAACAGTGGCAGAACTTTGGAGACTTTGAAAGGTGTCCTCTTATGTTTTGGCTCATGCTGCAGTTCAGCATTTAGGAAAATAATAATCTCAATCTCCTTCACAGTGAGCAGGAGGATATGGAGAAGGGAAAGCTCTGACAAAGACACTAAATTGTTCCAGGATTTGTGTATGTGGTGTATGGACACCACATGAGCAGTTCTAATGGTGATAAATCTGTCACATATAAATATCTGTTCTTAATAACAAGTGATTAAGTGAAAATGCTACATCTCAGAGTACCTACTTACCTTATAGAATATCAGCAAAAGATCATCCAAGTTTCCATGCAAATCTCCTACAGGAAATAAAAAAATTATTTTAAAATTTTCTCACAGAGGAGGAAGAAACTGGAATTATAAAACTGGAATTAGTTGGATCTAATACCTTTTTATATTGCACAACAGAACATGTTTCAGGGAAGGGTTTTGATTACTACCAGCAGGATGTGATGGAGAGTGTCAAGAACTGTCCATGCCTGTGTGCCTCAATGCTAAGGCCACAGGAATGACAGACTGGGCCCTTTTTGAGAGGTTTGTTTGGAACAGGCAGGAGGATTTCACCCTAACACAAAGCATCACTGCAGCACAGATCCCCTGTGCATTTGCCTGCATTTCATGCTCACAGAGCCAACCTTCTCATGACTGTGACTCACCACCACAGAGCTGCAGAACATTTTCAAAACCTAGCTTGTGATAATATGCTTTTACCACCGATAATTAGGAAAAGAGAAATGACATTTTTATGTGTATACATTTTCTGTGCTTTTGATTAATTATGAGCCTGCTGAATTTGTTCTAAGGCATCTTTCAAGCTATGATAGATATTTATCACATATGTGGATGCAAACATTTCAGGTATATATTTAATCTGCATTATTAATTTGAAATTATAAGGAATGGAGAGTGATACCTTAAGGAAATCAACATTTTGGACTGATTATGTTTAAAAAAATGGGTTATCTGTCTTCTGCAGAGGCTCCTTCTGGTGAAAAAACCTTTCAGTTTCAGTACAGGAGAGGGATCCCTTTTGGTGCTGCTTACATAGTGCAAATGCAATACAAACATGAAGAGGAATGTTTATTTAGTGAGAACATGTATTATGAATCTGTGTTTCCTTGGTTTAGAAAGGGGTCTTGATGGCTTGGTTAATAAATTATTGTTTATACAAAACCTTATTAAAACAAACCCTTTCCTGACAATCAAAGTAGGTCCATAACCACATCTTAAAAAAAATATTATTTATTTTGCATGTCCCACAGTCCTTCCCTTATACCACTTCACTATTACACACAGCACACACTGATAGATGTCAAGAGTTATGTCACCATTGTTCTGTTTTGCAGCTACTGCATCCTGTATCAAGTCAGGATACTGCATCCCATTATCTATAATTTACAAAAGTGTAACAAAATAGATGGGCAAAGAGCTCTTAGTTCCTTAGTACTGTGTGACACATCATTCTGTGAGACCAAATTGTTGGCTGTATAAAGACTTATCCATCCTCTTGGGTCTCCTTAGAAATGAGGGGTTATTATCATTTCAATTTATTCTAGATAGTCATGCTGTTACTGAAAGGTCTTTTTTGCCACCCATATTAAGCTCTCATTAAAATCATTACCGAGTAAATTATGATTAAAATCATTAAAATCATTACTGAGTAAGGTTTTTTCTCAGTGAGAGGAGAAAGGTGAGACTTACAGCCAGTGATCAAAATACTTGGTGGCATTTTAGAGGTGGAAGTGCAGGAGTATTTAAGCTGCACTGCAGTGTTAGCTGAATTAATACTGATTCATTCAGAAATGTTAAACAAGAACAGGAAAGAGGAGGTGAGGGAATTTCCTAAAATATACTTTATGACTCAGGAATTTTTTTGTTTGTTTGTTTGCTCCAATTTATGCATTTGTGGGGGGAAAGAAATAAAAAGAAATATATTTTTAGGGCATTGAGAACTTTGTTCTAATGGTAACATTTGGAAATGTCAGTATCATTCTCTAACCACTTAGAATATCAACCCATAGCCCAAAGCAGTTTTCTTCTCTGGCACCTTACCACAGACAGTTATCTCCTTGGAGTAGGAAGTTGAAAGATGGGTGATATTTGGCATCTCCTTGAGAACCCTCCTAGTTTCACTTAGCAACTGCAGCACATAGCGGGCATGAAGCAGCTGTGAGAAGAAAAAGCAGGTAGAAAAGGAAGACTTATTTCAATTAGCAATAGGTCTGTCTGCTTTATTAATATCAGACATGGACTGCCAAGGTTATTTATGTGCACACATCCAGACATGAGTGCAGGCTGTCTGGCCCAGTGCTGGGAATTAGGAGTGTTCATAGCTTTGCATTTGCTTCCCAGTGAGTGAATATGGAGATCTTACTGAACTTGTTTTACAGATTTTCCCACTTTATTTATACTGCACTGTTTCTATTCTTCTTGTCTTTCAGAAGAGGTAAGACTTATAGAGCACTCAAAATTACTCCATAAGGCCATCTGTTTAAAGTGACTGGGAAAAAAATAAAAAATTTTGTCATTCTAGGTGTGAGTAAAAAAAACAAACAAAAAAAATCTCACAACCTCCAAAACACAAGCCAAGAAAAAAACAACAAAACCCAAAGGCCATAAATGATATTTCAGCAAATTGCAAAAACAATGACAAGAAAACTCCAGTAAGGGCTGCCTTGGCACAAGTTATCTTCCTGTTCACAGTGAAGAAGTTATAAAAGTGCAACATTGAAGCTTCTAGTCTTCTCTTCTGATGTTTTTTATGAAGATTTTGTTGGTTGGTGATTTTTAAAGCTTTTAATTTCAACAGAGATCTGAGGAATTTTAGAGGAGATAGATGAGCTACAGAATGACTTTTCAAGATTCATGTCTTTAAGCAATCAAAAAGGTCAATTACATATGCCCATTTCCTTAATAAAATGCCAGCCATAGTAAGAGAAGGGATAGTGGACAGTAAGGTGAAGTCTGGGTTGGCTCATTTATCATATGCTTTATATGTGATATTTTACAATCAGCTTTCACAGAAAATTACTAGAGAAAAATATGCTTATTTAATAAATTAAAAAGCATGATAGACCCTTGCCCCTTTTATACAGCATACTGTTAAGCACAAATAATTACAAGTTCAAAGAAAGCTGTCCTGTTTAATGTCTCCCTGATCCACCTTCATCTTGTGGGCAACAAAAGGGCTTGCTCAGGAATATAGAGAATGAGGAACAGCCTCCTCAGTGCCTTGGAAGCTGCAGCCTGAGCTCCAGAGATTTGTGCTATCATTCTGTTCTGCTAGATTAGCAATGCTTTATAGTCACTCCACTGTGATGGTGGAGTCTTGCAGCCGGCAATGAGGTGATTAACCCTTACACCTCCTCTAAAAGAATGAGGTGGGGGATAAAGGACAGAAGACCAAACAATGAACACTTTTAACCCATAAAAAGATGATAATTAGTTTCTATTTTAGCTTAGGACACCTTCCCCAGTCCTGCACTCTCACTGAGAACCTCTGCCTTGCAGCTGGTTTCTATTTCATTTCACTAGTCCCTGCCTCCTCCCCAGGGCCAGGCCTGGTGACCGTGCAGCAAAGTAGTGAATCAAATGTGAGAACTCGTCTGAGAACTGTCTGCTTTTGATTTTATTGTGTTAGCTTTTAGCTTAGAGGCAGATCAATTTCCCAAGGCAGCTTACCATGCACATTTATGATCACATTGGGCTAGCAGGAAAAAGTAATGAGATGTAAAAGAAGGGTGAAATATCTCTTTGGGCACCAGTTTAACATTGGATTGTGGAACTACAACCTGACAGATGTAAAATAAGATAAAAAAAGAAAAACAAGCTAGTTGCAAATTACCTGTTCATTCCTGAAAGCATGAAGGAGAGCATTGGCATCTTCAACAGTAAGGGGGAATGAGAGTCGTGGTCCATAATAGGAGTCTGGAACAGCAATCTTCTTTTCAAATTCTTTTAAAGAGAAGTCTTCATCCACCACCTGAGGAGCACTAGGGCTGGTGAAAATTTGAGAATCTGGAAAAAGATAGAAGGAAAACAAAAATGTAGAAACTCCACCAGCCCCCCACAGAGCTGTAACAGCATGGCCAGAACTGGTTGAACATACCAGCTTTAACTGCTGCAGTATTACAGTGGCTGACTCCTGCCTCCCTACAGTGGAAAAGCTCCAGGTCTCCCCAGATTGTCTCACAATACTAAAACCAACCAACCAACCAATCAACCACAACAAGGGGAAAAAAGACCAAACCAAAGTTAAGAACTCTTTTCCAACTGCTAGTGTCTGTGGTCAGGGTGCAAAACATTTTGCACTGAAGTTGTGGAGCAGTTTGCTCACAAGTAATGAGAACCATCACCTGGTAAAAACTTCCTTCTCCTTTCCCCAGTGCAAGGAGATGCAAAAGTCAGGGCTGATCATTTAATGAGCATCATCTGTTTAAAGTTCAATATTACACTTTTAATACAGGTTATGAAGATTCCCTTCTATTGCTTTTATTTTCCACTTAAAATTTTTAGGCTAAATACCAGCAGGTCACAGTGATTATTTTAAAAGTCACCAACAAAATTATATTTATTCACAGCAGATTGCAAATCACTCCTTTCTGCTACAGCTAGGAAACAATGCCCGCTTTTGGTTGGTTGCCATAAAACTATTGGATGAAACAAAGTAAACAAAAACAGAGTGGTGAAAGTAGAGCAGTTTCTAATTTTCCTGGAACATGAAGGAAGCAGGAACACTGCTAATTGCTTCAATCCAATATTTTTCTTGACATAACCTTGAAATGTAACTGACTGATCAGCAGATTTCAGAGTTTTTTTTCTTGCAGATTGTCTTGGCCATATATTACTCCAAAAGAGAGAACCAGTCCCTAAATGAAAGTGTTCTAGCAGTTGTTGTTGCAGAGTTGCTCTTGTGAGCAACTGATTGTTGTAAGCGCTTTTTGCTGGGCTACAGTTAAGTTTTCTGTAACCTTGATTTCCTGCAACTGCAAATAAAAATGTATTATTTACAGCTGTGTAGCTGCATTATTTACTGCTGATTTACAGCTGACCCATAGCTGTGACTCAAAACTCACAGTAGCCAAAACCAGCATGTGGCCTCATAAATTATGAGATTTATATAGGCCAACTTGTCTTGCAACTAGATAAAATCAATATTTAAAAATAAATAGATAAAAGTGTAATCTGGATTTTAAAAAGTCCCCTTTTACTATCAGCACTTCAGCTGTGAGCTGATTAGCACTTTCAGTGCTAGTGCAATGTTATACTCAGCCAGTCAAATGGATTAAGGCATCAAGTAACAGCAAGGTGCTCAGGGTTCACCATTTTCACCAGTGCAGTTTGATTTGCAGTCTTCCACCACAGTTACAGCTTTGTCTGGCTGGACACCAGAATGTCACCATGGACTGAAATTGCTGATTTTTCTCATAGTGATCAGCCAAGCCCATTTGCACCAATTCTTGCTCCAGCTCTAGCAGCAGGCCTCTGGACAGTAGTATCTCCCTCTGCACCCCACCTCCCAAGAAGTGGGGACTAAACAACCAACTCTTCAGACCACCCAAATGCCTCATTTCTTGCCTGTTCTAACTAGCTGTCCTCATCTGACTGGACTCCTTCAGAGCCCGTGATCTTCTCAGCATTTCAAGCCAGGCAGACACCTGCCCATGCCTGCTCCTACTCTTGCCTTCCCTTCCAGCACACAGTAGGCTGGCCATCCATCCATCCATCCATCCATCCATCCATCCATCCATCCATCCATCCATCCATCCACCTCTGAACATGAACTTGCCTTCCTCACAGACTCACTTCTATGGCACATGCTCAGGCTGGGAAACCCAATCCTTCCCTGTTGGGCATATCTCTGCAAAGTGTACCCCATTTTCCATTTCTGGATGAGTTGTCAAAAGCCAGCCTGGTCATTACCCTTAGAGTGTGCTTATGGCTCCTCAGGCTGTCTTTCAGCTGGATTTTAAGGTTTCTTCCTGCAGAGCATGGCTGTCCCATCTCTGAGCAGTCAGTAATGGATGGCCTAATGCAGCCTGAGGAATCACCACACTGTCCAGCAAGTATCCCAGCTCACCACATGCCCCATGTAGGACTAATTCTGAAGGGTTCAGCCCCTCACATTTTACTGTTCTAGTCAAAGCTGTCAGGGCTCTTTCAGTTCATACTGAAAGACAGGGATGAAAAGTCTTGCCATGCCTTGGCACTTTTCTTGGATGAAAAGTGTCTGGTTCACATGTCAAGACAGAATGAAACATCTTCTGCCAGCATTTGCATCTCTCCACTGACTAGAGGGAGCACAGGCAATGACCTACCTACTTTGTACTCTGACCCCAGAGTTTAGCCCAGGCTCAGAGAGTTGAGCCTTCACTATTACCAAAACACAAACAAGTACAGCCATATTCCATGTTAAACAAATGCCCAGAGCTAAGTGGAGTCAATTTGGCCACAGAAACCCAAATACCTGATTCTCCTGACCATATCACCTTGCCATGGGAGTTTTTCAAGGCAAGTCAAAGCTGCCACTGCCAAGGATGTACTCATTATCAGACTAACCAGGAATCAGCTAGTTTTGCAGCTCTGTAATCACTTCTCTGTTCTGCCACCATCTGTGTGCCTTCAGCCTGACCACTGGGATACCTGAGAGCACCTCTGACTCCCGAGAAGTGCTCTTACATAAGCCAGATACTGATCCACAGCCCTCAGGTCAAAGCCAAATGGGCACTGAGCCTACAAAGAGGAAGGAGGTTTCTAAAATGCTTCAAACATTTCTTCCTTCACACCATTCCTGGTGCTACACACTTCAAGCAGCTATAACTTATTCCCCACTGCAAGAATCACTCTTTGTAAAACATCTTGGAAGGGTGTTAAAGCTGTAAGGGAGGCATCATGGGGAGTGGAGCTGCAGAAAACAACACTTTTTTTTCTGTTTCCCTTTGAAGGAAGGCTCCTGGGAGTGCCCTGGTGACCTTGAGAGGAACAGGTTTAGATTCCCAGTCCCATCATTTTTCTCAGGACGCATCTGCAGTCTTCTCACCCTCAATGTGCCCATAAAAGAGTGAGTAAATAAGTCATCTTTTGCTGGAAAGGCAGTTTCCAGCCTTCTCTGACCAGAGAGCTTTCCATTGAAAGCAGAGAAGGTAGGAAGATTTTTTTCAGGAAATTAGGGATAAAAGTGTAAGTTAGAAAAGGGTTTTATTCTTATTTTCCACAAACCCTTGTAAAATAGCCTTTAATAAGAAGCAGAACAAAACACTCAGCTATATAATATCCCAATCACAAACTACGCTAGCATCTTAAGGAGAATGAGAGGATGAAAAAAGCTTTAGGGTATAACAGATAAACAATCACATCAAAAGCACTACTGTGTTAATGAGATGGCAGCTGCTTTCTTTCTTTGAAAAACATAATCTGAAAAAAACAGATTAAAAAGAGGAAAGTAACAAGATTAATGGTGGAGGCTGAGTAGTCTATAATATAAGGAAAACCACAGATCACAAAATTTTCAGGAAACTTTCTTATCATATACTAAGAACAGGCAACCTATTCTTTGGTAGGATTATTATCTACTGTCTTCTTGGAGACAGCATTTGAACCATATGCTATCACTCTAATTTAAGTGAGCACACACTGATGAAAAAGACAAAAAGCCAGAGAATTGCAGGTTTTAGACAGTGCCTGAGAATAACAAAGTCAATTTGAAGCTTCTCTGGTTGTTATGTTTACATTCACTCTGGTTCACATCTTAAGATGGTGATTCAGCAGAAGTGGAAGCAGTTTTTTAAGGATCTCTTTATTCAGCACTGATTTTGCTTACATCAGTGAGGCTGGCATGAGTGCTGCAAAGGTCACTTCCAGGGGCAAGCAATCAAGAGCTTAAAGCAAAGAATGCATACAGCCAGCAGTTGGAAAAAATAACCACAACCCACAAAGTACACATTTTATATGCAATTTAAAAAAAAAATCTAAGCTCCTTTGCACAGCCAGCCTTGGTCATCTCTTTATTAAACATACACCATAATTTTCCTCTTTTGTTTAGGGTTCTGGTATCTGTAACACACAGTGTTAGAAAGGGGAACAAACCAAGACAAAAATAAAGCCTTTGGAGCAGTTATCAAGCCTTAACAATGTCAGTCCTAAAAGACATTTTAAGGAAGTTTTAAGCCAGCAAGACAAAGGGATGCTTTGCTATAAACCATATACACTTTATCACGTGTTTCAGCCTTAACACATCTGCAATTCCCAATATCTACCAGACCAAGAAACAGGTCACCTGTGCAGAGATGATGAGGAGCAGCCCACAGGACCTTCCATCTCCCTCCCTGTGCACAGGTGAGGCTTGGATCTCCACCTGCACACGAACAGCCCATGCATGTAGCAGTGTGCTCTGCCATGTCCTGAGCCCTAGCAAGTCATCTGAGACACCTCACCTTTATTCCTTCTGTCAGTAGACACAGTTAATAAAGGTGGATAAGTCATATCTACAACAAGCAGATGTAAAATTCCATTTTATTTTATGATAAAAATAGAGATTACCAATATTTTGCCGAATCTCAGACCTAGCACTACTGTTTTCTTTCCCATTCAAGTAGAAAAGCTGAACAGAGGTGCACCATCAGCATGAAGAAGTAGATGAAGTGAGCAGTATCTGTTTTTCTTCAAGTTTGCCAATTCCTTCCCAGGAAGTTAAATGACTAAAGCAGATATTTTTTTCACAGAATATGGCAGTTATGGGAAAAAAAATCAAAGAGAGGACTGTTGAATCATCTGCCTTGCCTTTGGAGCAAGGCTCAAATGTAATTTATTTTTCTGCAGAACACAGAGAGCATTAGGCACTCTAAAGTATTTAAGAGAGAAAAATTGCAGTTTCTACTGGTTGTCATTAGAACACTGAACCACTTAAGGTTTTGATGGTGTTTTTTTCCTGCTATCAAAGTATCTTGTGCAAATTTTAATTGGAATAACCCGTGGCTAGACCAGATGAAAGAGAAAGGGCATCCTCTTGTAATGCAGTAAGAAGGGGACAGCCTCATTTTTAACTCCACTGGGATTAGATCTATTCTGAATTTGTTCAGGGAAGTCATGTTTGTTTCCTGGACTTAGGAATTACTTTCAGTCTGTCCTTCTGTTGAGCTTGACCTCAAAAGTAAGTTATGTCCAAGGATCCAAAATACTTCAAAAATTAAAGGTTATTCCTTGAATAACTGGAGCTTAATTGAGATGGTTTCTAAAGATTTATCTTCAGCAGTTCAAATTTATTTCCTTTTTTATCATTCACATACTGATACATGTTGCAGTGAAATCCAGAACAAATTAAATTAAAACAGGGTCCAGAACTGCCAGAGGTGGTGGGGGAGAAAGAGCAACCTCTTTGATTATACCTGCCTTAAACCAACTGAACACAATCTTTCTGAATAATCACATCTCATAGTTTAAGAAATCATGAACAGAAAGCTGTGAAAATTGCATTCTGTAAAAAGGGCAGTAACACATAAGAAAGTACTCTGCACACTCTGAATATTCTCATAAGGACCACAGACACCTGTTCTGACTTACTGACTGCTGTGACTCACTAAGTAGATAGAGAGCAGTGTCAACACTTACAGGATCAAATCCATGTTAGTATTTAGGATATCAAACCTCAACCCCAGCACATGCCATAGGCTGTAAATATCACATTGAAAATTAACTTTCCTCACATCAAGTTTTTCAAACACAATCTCCACATTACTTTTATTTTTATTGTTACCTGCTTCAGGATGAGTACAATGATCCAGCATGAATGTAAAAAAATTGGAGAGCTGAGTATGAAAAAGAAAAGAACAAACACACTGATCAGTTTAGGTGATCCAACAAGCATTAATATCTTTCTTACTCTATTACTTGCAATTTCCCATCTAGGAGGATATAAATCACTACTGTATATTCCCATAGTATCAGCCTGCAACAATGACACAATTTGTGTCCTACAGCTCCCTTTCCTTTTTTGCTATGAATTCACCACTAACATTTCATGAATACATAAAATGTTTCAGGGTTGTTTCAGTGCTGCTGATGTTTCTAGGTGTAATTCATCTTGCCCACCACCCAGACTATTTGCCTAGATTTCCTTCACAGTCAATAGAAACAACTGCTACAGTGCAGTGAACTGACTTTAGACACAGATGCTAGGAGGCACACAAAGGCCTTAAGTTCCAAATTTCCTATATTGACCCTAAAGGAAACCTGGGCTGACAATGACACTGACACTGGGCTGAAACACTGATATCTCTGTTGCACATATATTGCCACACAGACAGTTAAGATCATCCATAGAGATCTGTAAGTGACCTGCAATCCCTGGCTAACAGAGCTGCTGTACAGGAAATTGTACCCTAGATATGCTGTATGGGCAGAATGGTGTCCTGGTTCATCTGTGTGTCTGTGTATGAATACACACAACATGTGTCAGGCAGGGAAACAGTTTTATTAATCAAGAGCCAGCTTTGTAAAAGAAATCACTACACACCCATTTTGTTAGCGCAGCCACAGTGCTGGGGACAACACAACTGCTTGAATAGGAAGAATGGAAGATCACAAACCTGCAGCTGGTCCTGCTCATCAGCATACTCGATTGACTGAAAGATGCTGAGGGAATAGCGGCGCCTCATCTCCAGGCGGGCCATGGTGAAGCGGTACCACTTCTGGATGAGGATTGCAGCTCTGATGACTGTCAAAACAGAAACACTGCACTACTCATGGATGCAGGGGAATCCACAAGGAAAATATGCATGCTGCCTCTGCAGAATTTTGCAGTCAGATGAGAAATTCTGTCCATTGTGCATAGTCAACAATAAGATGAAACCCAGTAAAAGTGAGACTGAAAAAATATATGATGCCTTTACTGTTTCTGTCTTCCAACACAGATCCCAGCTGACTGGCTCAGACCTAAGTAGTCAGTAACCTTTCCCATTTAGTTGTCTTGAAGACAGTACCCAGGTCATATTCAGCTGATGGGCACTATAGAGGTTTTGGAAAGGTGAAAGAAGAACAGTTTGCCCTATCAACAATATATTTCTATATCAAGCTGCAGTAAAAATCTTTGATTTTGCAAGTTGTGACATGAACAATGATGTAATGACAGTATTTGCAACAGCCTCTTCTACCAGAAAATTTTTGCCTGCAGAGCTGCATCAGCAAGGCAGCAAAATTAAAATCCTAGGATAAAAAGTTAACAAATGGTATTGAAGGGTAGAATATGTTGCTTAGATAGATAAGCCAAAAGGCAATAAGGTACAGCTTTAGCCATATTGGTTAACAAAACACTTACCCCAAAGTCAATGGAACATGCCAGAAGACCATTTTTGACTATGTGCTGAATATGCATTCCACTCAGCACTTTAAAAAGTTGTGTCTACCATGGTCTCAATCTGGAAAACTGCTGGAAACTTCACTGAAGGACAATCATCAAGACTGCAGCCTGGAAGAAAGAGCCTGCTGCCTTCAGGCCTCATTCATGCCACAGAGTGATCACATTCCTTTAACTGCTCAGATAAAAATTTATTAAGCAGAGAAACATCTGGTGGCAGAAAGAGGTCCTGGAGTGGGCACTATCCTGCACTGCAAAACAGTAAAGAAAAGCTCTGTACTACAGGGACAACAGTTTACACCAGTCAATTATTGTAACTGATCACAAATACCAGGAAGTTCTATACTAGGATGAGTGGAATCTGAGTGAGAATTTTTTTTTCTTACTGTTAGTTATGCAGGTAAGGACAAATATTGATGGGAAAGTGATTCTATTAATAGAGTATAACATAAAGGAAACATTTTTATAAAAATGCTTACAGATGCTATAACAACATGTTCTTTGCTTATTTTACCATTAATGAGTATACAGTATAATTTAAATGGTAAAATTTTCTAGTCTAGACAAGAACAAAATCCAGAAAGACTCCCATCCTGTAGGTATTGCATACATCCTAGAAAAATCCTTCTGCCTGAAGGAAATGTGATCCTTATATGACTAAGAGCATCCTTCAGACCCTACATAAACTCTGAGATCTCTGTTTTCTGTCCTTTCTGTAAGTCTCCACCACTACAGACCTGAAAGCCTGACACATTACAGCAAGGCTGTCACCAACATTTCTGTTTAGAAGCGTACCTAAGGGGCAAAGCACAATCACCAGCACAGAAACAGATTTCCAGCATCAGAGCCATTAAACTTCCCATCAAAGCCCCCTGGGTTGCTTAATGGTCCAGAGCACTTAACATGGCACAGTTCCATTGCTATCACATAAGACAGATACATATCAATCACTGTGCCTAATGTTGCAAATCTAACAGAATGTTTCCTGTCTTTTTTTTTTTTTTCAATTGTACTTATTACAGCACTGTTACTCTCAGGATTGAATCAGAACATGATTTTCACACTAGGCTAAGCTGCATCTCTAAACGAAATTGTTATCAGTTGCAGAAGGTCTGTACACCAACAAATATCTGTTAAATTCATGTTATTAATGCATTAGAGAAATGTACAGCCTCAGGCTGCAGATAGAATGATGGTTCAGCATCACTTGACTACTGTTGAAGAGCAGAAAGGAAACCATCCAGCAGTTCCAAAGGACAAAACACAATCCAGGAAGCACAGAAAATCCTAAGTCCCACATCAATGTGTGTTGATGGTTGTTGATCAAGAAAGAGTACAGCTCCTCTTGCCCACTCCAAGCTTTTGCAGAAATATTCCCAAGCAGCACATTATTAAGGTCTTGCAAGGCACATGTAGGCACAGCATGCAAACCCAAAGGGGAAGAGCTGCCTCACAGTTACAGGTAGGTCTGGGATTCTGGATGATTCTATTCTGCTTTCACTACTGTGATACAGCACTGATGCTGCTTTGTAGTGGCACACACAAAGCTGAGGGCTGCTCGCAAACCAGTCAGCTGGGATCCCTGCAGCCATGACTAAGTGCTCCTGCTTCTTAGGCACCAGCTTCCTGTGTCTTGTGTCCTGGCTTGATAGCCAAGAGCCTTCCTTTTCAACCACAGCTGTTCAGCATAATAATGTCCTAAACTATGCACAGTACCATGTAATGCGGCTCTCTGCTGACCAATAAATTGTGCTTTAATGAAAAATCTTGAAAGAGAACACAGAAGGTCTGAAAAAAGGTCTGAGTTAATCCTGGAACACACCTGCCTGTGCAAAAACTGCTGAGTTCATACCAAGGTGGGGTATGATTAAAAGGAGGGTGATGATCCATTAGTTTAATTAAACATTTAACCAGGTCCTGAGGAGACTTTCATCAGACAGCCTCACTAATTGTCAGGGAGAATGTCAGGCCAGGCACTTGGTAGGCCAGAAAGCTGATTTTGAAGTCATTGTAATAGCCCTGCTTTATTACACTTGTTTCATAATTGGGGTCACACAACAGCAGGGAAATTGGGGCGGTTTGCCCAGGAATCCTGTGGTGTGAAAAGCCATAAAAGGTCCCACTCAATACCCCACCCTCTAAGCTTTGCCAGTGACAGAGCAAGCACAGGCACCTCTGAAATTTAGCTTCTGTCCCAGATGCTGTGAATCTTTTACAACCCAATCTGTCAATGCTAGAGGTGGCCCAAAGCTGCTTCCTGACCTCAGCCAGCATCTAAAAGCTATGTACAGTTTTAAAAAGAAAATAATTAGAAAATAATTTTCCCTATTTTTACAACAGGACTAGGCAGGGGTTGTGGAGGAGAGGAACATTATTTTGCAGTCCTCTGCTGGTGTGAGAGAGAGAACAACCACCTGCCCTGAAGACAAAGGCAACACTCACCATTCTCTGACTTTCTGTCAGCTACAGAACTGCTGCACCCCATGGTTCCAAGGATGCTGCCCATCCGTTTAATTGCTGCTGATGCGAAGCGTGTTTCTCTCAGCTGTTAGCATCATTCACATTTCCTGTGCTGTTCCTTCAGGGATGAGGGCTACACTCCTTTGGGCTCCTGGGCTCTTCCCAGTATTCCTAACAGGGATGAGATTGGGAAGGAAGAATAGGGAGGGGAAAAAAATGGTGCTTGACAAGACAGAATCTTAAGTACCTTCAGCCCACAATAAATTATTGTACAGCACATCCTACCTAAACTGGACCACACCAGGGTTTGGTTTTTTTCCCCACATCTGATTACTGTCATCTCGTAGTCAAGAGAAATTAACTTAGTAATTAATACAGTTTACTCCTTACTTGTTAGCTTAATGTTAATGTGCAGCAGTGGTTTCTTATATGAAGAATAGCTATTTAAAGCCTTACTACCATGGACAAGGGACTATGGAGACACATTACTCTTCATTCTTATGATTTGAAAATTGGAACTGCAGAATTTTAAAGATTTTAAATTACATGTGATAGCACTGCTAAAAAAAAACAATCCTCCTAACACTCCATTGATTTGAAAAGTTGCCTTACCACCCCATTTATCATTTTATTGCTCAGTGTTACCACTACCAAATTTAACAGGACAGACAGTACCATAGCAAATCACTTCATTATCAGATTTCATTTAAATAAAACATCCCATTTTCTGTTGCATTTCTACTGAAAACAATCTAAGGAAAATATTCTGTTTCATTAAAGAGATGAACAAAATACATTTTGAAGTGAAGTCTTTCGGGTTTTTCTCCTGGCACTTGCTCAGTTCTGCACTAAACAGTATCCCTCGCTAATGCAACACACTCTAATCAACAAATTCAAATGAATACAATTCCTCTGAGATACAAAATGGATCAATTTCTAAGCAACAAGATATTCACTTATGCTTAGATACTGAACTTTGTTTTAGATAAAGATTTCTTATATGATCACACTGACCCCTCTCTCTCCATCTCCAGGGATACATCTGACATAAAAATTATTTTAGCTGTTATTTTGTTTCATTTATATTCCTTTTCTTTTAACTTGAGTTTTAAAACAAAGAAGAAATTCATCAGCATAAAATGAATGCTTAGCTACTATTTTCCTTTGGCTTTACTAGCAGAAATCATAAAAAAGAAGGATACAAAAGAAAAAAAAAGCATAAATGCATAACTAGGTGATTTTCAATTTCAATAATTAGAAAACACTTATATTTGTGAGTCTGTATGTGCAGATTTCAACATTTATTATTATATATGATATCCTGCCCTGTCATGCTAATATAACACAACTCTTTGTAGTTCTGGGGCTTTTATACAGGGTCCCACAAAACAAGGGTATCCTACACTTGAGCTGGGTCTGACTCCTTATGAGTCAGTAATTAATTCAGGAAATAAGGATTTTAAGGTTTTTTCCCCACACAATGGACTGCTTTACTTCCCTCTGAAGGAGCTATCATGAAATTAAAAAAAAAAAGTTCTTACATTAATTTTGAGCCCAACAATGGCTTTGGCAGCATCAAATACAGCATTGATATTGCTAATAGCTCAAATTTGTCTTCTCTCTGAAAATTCTTGCTCTCCTGGTTACCATCTCCTCACTTACCCTCTTAGGAGAATCTCAAGCCTTCATTGCTCCATCTCAAACAAGCCAGCCATGATGTGAATTGTGATCTGAAGACTGGCAGTAAGGGCAAAATAGACCTTACAATCTAAGTTCTACTTAGACCCTTGATTAAGGGGCAGGTCAGCCTGTGCCCAGCAAGGGGCAATGGGAGCCCAAACAGAACCATCAAACCTCTCAGGACTCTCTCCAACCCACAGGAAGCAATGGGCTGACCCAAGAAATGGGGGGCTGAATTGTGATCATAACCTGCTTTCAATTACTTCAGCTTTCTTCCCAGTCATCACCAGTCTCCTCTACATACATTTAAACTCATAGACTTCTAGAACATCCTTGAAGAAAGAATTTAAAAGATAGAGGCATAGGGACAGAAATTTTATTGGGACAGTAGCAAATGAAGACTCAAACGTACACTCAGAGCTTGGAGGAAAACTTGTCTAGATATATCTTATCATTAAACCTCCTAAAAAAGGCCAAATCTGGCCATCAAAGGGCTAGTCCAGGGGAATGAATAATCACTACCTTCAGTCCCAAATATCTGCACTCTGAAATGGACAGGGTGAACATTCAACTGCCTTTCTGTGACAACTTCTCAAGTGGCTATGGAGCTTTGGAGCCATCCTCACTGCCAACCTGCATGCCCAGACTCCAGGCCAGGAGAGTCATTTCTGTGAGCTACTGACTACACACAGTGTAGCAGTGTCTGGTGAAGAATCATCTGTCATTACAAAACTCCTCCCAATTGCTGGCTGATAAAATGGAAAGCTGGGCTTTTTACCAAGGTATTGCAAGAGACACAAGGTAGCTGGAGGAGAATTTGAAATATAAGGCTGTGTTAATATTCTGGATATTATACCACTGATTTACCTTTAAGAGAGAATCTGTCATGTTGACTAAAAAGCAGGCATTCAATTTCTACAAGTCAGTAATCTGCCCCACTTTTGTACATAATTCAAAAAATTGCTAGAGTTCTGTCAGTTTAGCAAAAAAGTCAGTTTTGTGATAGACAGGCACTAAAAGCACAACCCATCCACTGAAGCAAAATAAAATGTCTTTGCAATCATGCCTATGGACATGCACAAAGCTAAGCCAGAGTGGCACATGCTGCTCTTTCCTGGACAGAAGTCACTGAAGGCAACACACAGCAAGTGCTCCAAAATCTGGGGTTGACAACCGAGCTGTTGAGAGGCTGATTTACAGAAAAAATGGCTCAGTATCATTTGGTCCGGATGTAATAGGTGCTGCCCCAACTCAGTCATGCCTCCAGTTTGTCAGTCACATAAAGACCAGGCTGCCTCAAGGAAAATTGAAATCCTGTAAAGATTTATAGCTGACTTTCAATGAAATCAGATGGCAGGGTCTTTGGGCAGAGAGCCATCCTTTAAAGCACCTTAGCTTTTAAAATTATTTGAGCTGTGCTCCTGGCACACACGTGTAAACTAGGTTAAACCTGAGGATATGGGAGCCATATGAATAAGAGCCACAAGGATTTAAGTTCTTACTCTTCTGTCTTTCATTTGTTTCTTACCTTTAATAAAAATGAAAGGCTCCTCCTTTTATTTTTGTTGGGATGGGGCTTCCATAATTATGCTACTTCCCCTAGAAGTTGTTTCAACAGTTCTCTCCAGCAATTTGCCTCCTTTCATTACTCACCCCTTTTCTCAATCATGTTTTTGAAGAGGTAGCTATGATCTCCTCCCAAAACATGTCTTAGGAGGTACATGTACATGGAGAGGTGATAAGATAGAGACAGTTTTCTGCATAAAGATCAGATGGATGGATGGATGCTTCTAATGACAGAGGCTTTCCATTGATGCTATCTTGTATAAGTTTTTATTTTACTGTGACTTACAGATTTCCTTTAGAATTGTTTTCCTTTGGAAACTAGGACTGCAGAGAACGAAGAAATGACATAATATGCTTTTGTGATGAATTTGCTTCTGTTCATTGCTGAGGGAATGAAGCTGCAAAGACTTCAATAATTAGAGAATACCTAATACCTTAGAGAAGAGAATCCAGACATTAAATCACAACACTCAGGTCAGAACCTGCAGAAGAACAGGTCTCCAAAACTGTCTTGTTGGAATTGTCAAGGATGAGAATCTAGAGATGAGTTGCAAATCTCATTAGCTAAAAGATCCACCCTGCAGAAAGAGGATGAAGCAGTCACAGTCAACTAGCAGAGTGAAATGGAACCTGGCTATGGCATAGGAGTTGTAATTTTGAGACCAACACCTAATTTGATCTGCCAAGGGGTTGATATGACAACATCAAACAAACAAATCAATACATTATTAGGTCTCCATCGTTTTACATGCATGGAACAATCTAACATTTCTGATAAGTGATTTTCAGTGATTATAAAGAGGTGGAAGACAGAACTGAGAAAGGCTTTTTGTTAACAGATAATTTCCTCTGCCTGCTCAGAGAAGCAAGGTTAAGCTCAATACAGAGCTGATGGAATGATTGCTGTAAGTGGCTGTGTCGACAGACCTCGGTGTTGGGGCCGGAAATCAATAGGGAATGCAATGCATGTGGTGGCTTGAGCATTGGCCAAATGTTAGTAAGATACCAGAAAGCCAGCAAAGCCTGGAAGAGAATAGGATGAAGAATAGGATGAAGTTTTAAGGTGGACTCATATTCCTGAGCCAAAAAATGCAGTGCAAAAAGAAATAAAAGCAAGAATAGCAAAGCTGTGAACATGTAGATAATTCAAGCAATCCCTAAGCTCCAGAACTGCATGCAAACCCAAAGAGAATCTGTAAAAAAAATGGTGGGAGAATCCAGTTCATGTTACTTATAATCAATAAAGGGTACGTTTACTTTTGGTTTTTGTTTTGGTTTTTTGGGGGGACAGAAAATAAACAATGCAGCCTCATTTTTTCTTGTACAGCAAGACTTTAGACAGATTTTGTTTTAAAAAGAGGAGGAATAGCAAATACAAGTGGGCAAATGTGGTACACATTCTTCTTCACCTTGAAGAATAAGCAAACCCATCATATCACTTTCCAGAAATGTTAAACACCTCTAGGGGGAGATTGCTTTAGGCAACAAGGGGAAAACTGAAAATTCTGAAGCAAATTTGGTTCTAGTAAACTGAACCCAACTGGAGCATAAAAGTTAACAAAAAACTTTAAGCAAAAAGCTGGATCACATACTGTTCTGCAGTTAATGAGTTGGATCACATACTGTCCTGCACATGATGAGCAGGGTCTTAATGACATCCTGAAAAAGCAAATCTTTGGAATAAACATGTGTTGAAATTTGTGCCAGTTCAAAAATTAAATTCATGCTTCAGCATGGTTTTCATAAAATTTAAATTAAGCATCAGAACAAGGTTCAAAATAGAATAAAAATTATTTTTCCTAAAACAAAAATTACATGAAATACAGTAGTCTCAAAGCTATTTGATTTCATCTGTACCCAGAAATTCTGGATAACTGATTCAGTCCAGGTCAAACTATAGCTTGAAGCACAGTGGTTTTTCTTATGGTAAAATCATAAATAATGCCACATACATCTTTCATTTTGTCAAACTGCTCTTTAAAAGTGAGCTAAATATATATGTATATATACCCCACCCAAAAATATTACCTTTTTTTCTTTCTGCTTCAGCAAGAATACACCGAGATTTTTTGCACAAGAGTACCTTTAGAAGATTCTTTTTTTAAAAAAAAGCAACCCCTGAGGAGTGCAGATCTGCAGAACAGGTTCTCCAATTCTCTCTGGGACTCTGGAGCCCAGGAGCTGCAATGCACTTGCTCTCCACCTACTTACACAGCTTTCCGAGAGGAAATTTCTTGAATGCTGCTCTTCAGAAACAGTCAGGGGAAAATGCTGTTTTCATTGTCCAACCTGATGTGAAAGCTCATGGCTGCAGCCCTCCAGCTGTGTTGTTTCCGTGTTGAAAAGCTGTTTTGTCACCATGCCTCCTGAATCTCAGGCAGAGAAAGGGAAGGGCTGAAGTTATCTGCCTTGCATCTGAAGTCACATGATCTCTTTCGGCCTTTCTGCTGTGTTGAGGCAATGATTTGCATTTTAGCAGATCTAGCACACTGGAAAAAAACATAAGGCTATCCAGGTTATTTGGCTATCTGATGTGACTGGCACGGTTATGAAAGCCCTTAAGGAAAGCAATACTGAATTTACCACAAGGCATTGCATCTGCATGCAAGTGATATATTTATGTGTTCTCCAAATCACTCAGTCATACCCAGATAATGCACAACTATGAAGCACTCAGATCTTGTGTTGGGAACTGTGTCTCTTGTTGTTCAAAGAATATGTGAATACCACAGGGACCCACTGTGCTAATGCCTTCAGTTCATTTCTTCATGCATGCACATGTTCTCACCATAAACGTGTGACTGCAGTTCTCTGGACTCAGTTCATGTTTTGGCTCACCTTCTCCTTGTGTGACGGCTGGGAAGGGATGGGAGAAGCCGAGAACACCTCACCCTTGCTCTGCTCAGAAAGCCACGATTTGAAATCCAACCCTGACTCCTGGCAGCACGTCCCACATCTCTGACCCAGATCCCGGCCACGCTGACCCCTGACTCCCAGTAACTGCACAGGGTCCCTAGGAAAGGGCAAAGCCATCACAGTGATTTGTTACTGCCCACTGCTCACACAACAGCCCCTGAGGAATCTGCTCCACTGGCAGTGCATGGACAGCATGGGGACACTGTGATTTCAAACACATATCCTGCCAAACCACTCAAAACTAGGAGATGTCTGCAGAAGCATGATAGTGTAGTATCACCACTAGTCTTGGGCTCAGTCCTCATCAGCATTTACGTTCATCAGGACACCATTGCCCCACTCCAAAAGCCAGGGAGGGGATGTTTGCTGCTGTGCAGTGATGGAGCAGAGCACAGCAGCCATTTCTGTGGGGTCAGGGTGAGGCCTGTGGGTCTGAAGAGGACCGCAGGTTATAAAGCATGCTGTGGTGGGAGAAAGCTCCATGTGCATGGGCACAAGATGAAGATCACTGTGTCCTTGCTCTGAAGGGCAAGTGGAGCTCCACCAGGACTGGATAGAAACAAAAGATTTCTGAGAATAGAGGCAAAATAATATCTTCATCCTTTTGCCCCTCCCTGAAGGTCTAATAATACCATAACATGCTATTTTCTAGAAAATTTTGTCATCAGCGTGGTGACAATTCTAAAGGCATCAACCACCACTCTGAAGGACAGAGTGATCAAATCCCCTTTTGAAACAGACTTCTATTAAGGTGCAAAAGATATTTAAAATGCCAAACCAGCAAAACAGAAGGCACTTGATTGACTGAGCTAGTCCTCTGAGGTTCTGGAGTCCCAGACACAAGCTTCCACTTTCAAAGCTGTTCCTCTCCTGTGAGACGAGACAGTAAATGGAAAGCATACCAAGCGCAATAATTCTGCGTGACCCAGAACGGTTTTGATGTTTGTTTTTTCTGGCAGGATGCACTTTCCCTGATCTGAGTTACAGCAGCTAATCTTTTATGTATGATCACGCTGCTCTGCCAAAATGCATGCAAGCAAAAATACATCACAACCTCTTTCCACTGTACTCCTGGGATACACATTATTTATAAACATTTACTGTACCTGATAAGTTCATCTCTATTGGCATTTACCAAGTTCTCTGCATAATGAGAGGTTTGCTCCAATTGCCAATAAATCCATCAGAAACATTTCATCCAAGATCAGTGGGAGAGGGATAACCTTAGCAGTTAGGTTCTTTAGGACATGTTTTCTTTTGTTTCTCTTCTTTGTCCTCTGTCTCAGCGATCTGACATGACCAAGCAACCTGATAAAGAGTCAGTGTTGCTGGACTGAGCCACCTCTCCAGTTACTTGTGGGGATCACAATAACATGCAACTTGAGGAAACACAAATGTCCTTTCCAAATTAACCTTTCCAGTTCATGTCCAAGGAGACAACACCATTTTCCTTTCTACAAAGGGCAAAGAGAACATACCAGTCCCATCAACAAGGTCACACATACTACTGCTCTTTTGCTCAGCAGTCATGTATCACACACACACTTAATATGCTGAGTAGACTTTTAGCATCAACAGCTGCAACAGAAAGTAGGCCAAAAACTCTGACAATGTATGATTGAGCATGACAAGAAAAAACCCAGTCATGGTGCTAGTGTAGAAATCAGGGCATCCCTCTAAAAGCAACCCTTCTGGATGTAATTGCGCTTATTCTGTTTTCCAAATACTTTAGAAACATTAACCTCCCGAGCAAGTCTTCATGCAGGCATTCCACATACATAATTCAAATTCTGCTTCAGGCTTGTTTCTCAGAAGCACCCACTACAAAGTGATGTAACCGATATTTCTCAAAAAGGATGAAGATAATCACAGTTGAAGGGAGTGTGCTCCTTTTAAGCTCTGACCATGGTTTCCCTTCTCTTGCCCTACCGAGCTTAAAGTATTTTTATGTGACCCAGCAAAGTATTTTAAAGTACTAGCCAGGGAAAAAGTCCCTGACTGAGAAACCTGGATGCCCAGAGACAGAAAGGAAAAAAAAACCTAATAAAAAAAATGGAGAAATTAATGTCCAGAACAAATTTAAAGTCTGACTCAGTCAGTGAGATGACAGAAATCTGTGCTCACACATTAGAAAAAGTAGGTTAATTTGTGTGAACACAAAAAGAAATGTTCCCCCACTGACAGTTCTGGGTGAGAAGGTGAATAAAAGACATCAAAACTAGCATCCTTGGCAAAAAGCACACCAAATCAGAAATGGGAAAGAAAGGAAGTGGTAGGGCCTCAAAGCTCCTGAAGACTGAGAAACTAGACCAGAACACTATGAAACCATCAGGATACCCTCTGCAAAAAATGGGAACAATATTTTTTTTAAGAAAGTTTCCCAAATTATCAGATGAATGCAGATTATTCTGGGAAGCAATGACTAATGACCCAATTTGCACAACTCTACCTCCCTGACGTTAGCTTCAACCTCCACTTAGAGCTTAAAGAAATGATAGCTATCTATCTTCAACACTTAGGGTTTGACAGATCTTAGTAAAGCAGCATGACGAAAAAGAAATGAGCATAAGAATTGCCTAACAAAAGCTTGATGTGCATTTTGTTGGTCTGGTGAACCAGAAGCTCCACACACAGTTCAAACCCTACAATCTGATGCCCTCAGGCCTGTCAGGCTGTCTCTTTGGTAAAGCCTTTAAATCAGGCTCTCCAGGTCAAATCAGGCTCTCCAGGTCAGGAGAGCAGACAGATTTGACTTCCACACTAACAATCAGTATGTGAAAGGATTTAAAAAATATTTTAAATTGTTTTCTAAAGAATGGAATCTACCAACTAATAAATTCGACCACATACAGGGTAAGGGGTCATCAAGTCTATGGAAATAATTGTCTTCATCTCTATTTTCATCTAATGCTTATTAAACTGCTTTTAATGTAACATTTTCTACTTTGTTAGAGTAAATAAATCTGCTGCTTCAGCAAAACATTATTAATTTCAAAAGTCATGTCAACTATGCTATTTAGCCACAAACAATACCTGTTTTGCTTAGAAGCACCACACTTCTGAAAACTCCCAAATTTACCTTTTATATTTCAAATAATAATTTCTATTTGGAACTTTTGACCTGGAAACATAGTACAGGTGCCTTAATTTGTGCTCCTACAAGCCATTCCCTCGGAGATGTGAAGCGAGGCACAGTGTGGTAAGGACCGAGGTAGTACATGTAGTGCAAAACAGAGGGTAAAACATAACAGAGGGAAGGCGGCGATTATTGTGGGGTGTGAGGGGTGACAAGAAGGTCCATGAATAGATGGATGGATGATGGATGGATACCCAAACACCCCCTCACGGAGGCATTTCCCGCACAGGCCCCGGGCCCGAGCGGGGCCTGGTGCGGTGGGCGAGCGTGGGGTGCCCCCTGCCGGCGGCGCGGGCCGCGGCGGGAGCCGCCCCCGGGCGGCCACACACGGGGGAAAACTCTCCGTCCTCTCCGGGGGATTGGAAAGAGCCGGACGCCCCTGCCTCCCACTGCCTTTCGTGTTTTAAACAGCCTCATGTGCCGAGGAAATCAGCTACACGTCCCTCCCCCGCTGAGAAGAGAGCTGGAGCGCCCCGCAGTAGGCAGCGAGGCGCTTCCCATGGCCAGTTTAGAGGAAATCCCCGCAGCCGAGCTCCCCCGGAGCAGCCGCGGTGTTGCTGCGGCTCTCCCCGAGCTCAGGCCGCCCTTCCCGCACTTGGGCCAGCCTGACGTGACAATCCAGCCCAACTCAGGGCGAGCAGAGCAGCCGAGCAAATGCCAGGAGCAGCGGGATGC